CTCACCTTGGTGGGTCTTGTAGCTCCATTCCTCACAGGTCAAGACATTTAGCTGGCCTGCTCCCATGCAGTCATAGCCATTTTCTTTCTGATTGCACACTTTGGATTTTCCTGCACAATGGAAAGGTGATAGTGAACAATCTCCAGGCAGTGTTTCCAGACTCCACCTTTCGGTGTTGCTGAGGCCCTGAGCATCCAAATTCCCTTCTATCATAGAATCATAGAATCTCTACAGTGTGGAAACAGGCCCTTCGGCCCAACAAGTCCACACTGACCCGCACAGCATCCCACCCAGACCAATCCCTGAACACTAGGGGCAATTTAGTATGGCCAATCCACCTAACCTGCACATTTTTGATCTGTGGGAGGAAACTGGAGCACCCAGAGGAAACCCACGCAGACAAGGGGAGAATGTGCAAACTTCACACAGACAGTTACCCAAGAGCAGAATTGAACCTGGGTCCCTGGTGCTGTGATGCAGTAGTGCTAACCACTGAGTCACTGTGCCACTCCTTCCTGGTTACCATCCCGTCAATCCCATAGGTTCCATCACCTCCCCAGTTCCCCATCCAACCCATCCACATAGGCCTAAACCTGCTCACCTTTCTCATTTACCCAGCTTCCAGCATTTGAGGTGAATATGTGGTCATACTCTGTTCCCTTCACCCCTTGAAGCCAGTATGTACCTGATCATTGACAAGCCCCTTTCCCGCATGATCCCCCTTCCATCCGTGTTTTACCAAATACTCTGCTTGTAAATATGCTTGCCTCAACTTCACATTTGTGATCCCACCTACCCCACAAGAAGAATATCCTGAAGAACTGGTTTTTGAGCCTTCTTCCCATAGCAGCGCGACCCCCCCCCCACCAATTACCCCATCCCCACCACTCCCTTTTCCCCTTTGTTGCTGTGGATGGACCTGGCAGAATGACTGTGTCCCACTGCCCCCTTGAGCAGCCGAGTTGAACAGCCCCAGAAGAGAAATGTCCAGACCCCTATCTGATGTATGTTCATGACCCCTTCTGCATTGGCCCTAATTCCCCCAGGCTTGTTGCTATGGAGCCACAGGACTGACCATGACCTTCTCCCTGGACTGCAGAAGGAAGGACTCCCAGACCAACAATACTCAAAGCAGACACTTGACCCTGGCCAATCCCCTGAGCTAGAAAGGGAGGATACTCTTGACCTAATATTCTAGGACCCCTGACTGAAGGGTATCTCATAAATTTTCTTGAGGATAGGAGTTGGGACATTGTGTTGAGGTTGTGTAGGACATTGGTGAGGCCCCTTCTGGAGTACTGTGTCCAATTCTGGTCACCCTGTTACAGGAAGGATATTATTAAGCTGGAGAAGGTTCAGAAGAGATTTGCCAGGATGTTGCCAGGTGTGGAATGTTTAAGTCATGAGGAGAGGCTGGATAGGCTGGGACCTTTTTCACTGGAGTGTAGGAGATTGAGAGGTGACCTTATAGAGGTTTATAAAATCATGAGGGGTATAGATCGGGTGAACTGCAGGTGTCTTTTCCTCAGGGTGGGGACTTTCAAGACTGGGGGGGCATATTTTTAAGGTGAGTTGAGAAATATTTTAAAAAGAGATGAAGGGCAATTTTTTACACAGAGTGGTTCACGTGTGGAATGAACTTCCAGGGGAAGTGGTGGATGTGGGTATAGTTACAATGTTTAAAACACATTTAGATAAGTACATGAATAGGAAATGTTTAGAGAGATACGGGCCAGGAGCAGGCAGGTGGGACTAGTTTAGATTGGGATTATGGTCAGCATGGACTGGTTGGACCAAAGGGTCTGTTTCCGTGCTGTATGGCTTTATGACTCTACTCTGCTAAGATTTAGAGACTTGGATGCCTAATTGCTGCATGTGCTCTGTGTCTTGCTACGTAAGCTCCTGTACATACGCAGGAGTGAGATTGACCTGGCATTGTGCATTGCAACAAGATGTAAAGCCCCTGAGGCTGAGGAATGCTGACCACCAAAGTATACTGCCTCCTTGTTTGACAATGTTAAGCAACACAGTGAGACAAGGCTTGGATGCTCCAAATGTGCAGATAGGCACAAAATGAGTGAATGCCAAGATAGCAAAGGAGCAGCTCTGAGATGCAGCTTGGACCTGGGTGCCTATTTCTGCATACAAAATCTCCTTATAACAGTCTTTCCATGCACATTGCTGGTGCACCCTACAATGCAGCTCTGTGCTTCCTAAGTGTCCTGCAAGTGTATCAAAGAAGTGCCATGAGGATTCTGAGGGCATTGGCAAAACTCAGATGCCAACGTCTGTGAATGAGGGGTGCAGTCAGTCCTGTTTGGTTCTGTTTGGTTCTAAGCAACATACAGACTCTTTGTAGCCAGTGGTGCGCTGAAGTCACCAGTTACCTGTGTCACTTCCAATTCGAGATTTCTCAATGTCTAACTTTTTCAGTGCATTTAGCAAGATAGGTGTCTGAATATTAATGAAGGGAGTTGCGGTGTTGATAAAACATTTAACACATTATCATCCCCTTTAACTGGCAACTCACTGCTGGCTAATGAGAAACTCACCTCACTGCCTGGCAAATGCATAAAAAATGCAACAAGTTGATCTCTGCATTGAGATAGGCCTCACCAGACCTCTACAATAAAGAATTCTACAAATTCACAGCCTTCTAAGAGAAGAAGTTCCTTCTCACCTCTGTCTTAAATGTGCAATCCCTTATTTGGAAGTTATGCACTCTAGTCCTAGCCTCTCCCACAACGGTAGCTAACTTCTCCGCATCTACCCTGTCAAGTCTTCTAAGACTATTCAGTACTGAAGGTTCTGAAGAAGAGTTAGTGGACTCAAATCATTAACTCTGTTTCTTTCTCCACAGATGCTGCCAGACCTGCTGAGTTTCTCCAGCAGTTTGTTTTTGTTTCAGATTTCCAGCATCCATAATTCTTTAAAAAAAGCCAAAAGAACTGTGGATACTGTAAATCAGGAACAAAAACAAAGTTGCTGGAAAAGCTCAGCAGGTCTGGCAGCATCTGTGAAGGAGAAAACAGAGTTAACATTTCGGGTCCGGTGACCCTTCCTCAATCACCGGACCCGAAACGTTAACTCTGTTTTCTCCTTCACAGATGCTGCCAGACCTGCTGAGCTTTTCCAGCAACTTTGTTTTTGTATTCATAATTCTTTGTTTTATTATACCCTCTAAAAATCTTATATGCTTCAATAAGGTTGCCTTCCATTCTTCTATATTCCAACGAGTGCCATCCCAATCTACTTAACCTCTCCTCATAGACAGTCCCTCTATAGCTGGTTTCAGCCTAGCAACAAAAACAGAATTGCTGGAAAAGCTCAGCAGGTCTTGCAGCATTTGTGGACAGTAATCAGAGTTAACATTTTGGGTCCAGTGACTTTCTCAGAACTGATGGCAGCTAGGAAAATGTTCATTTTTATGTAGAAGATAGAGTGGGGGGAGGGGTTAAGGAGTAAACAGTAAGTGGAGATAGAGCCCGAAGAGAGAAAAGGACAGTTGGACAGACAAAGGAGTGGACAACGATCAGGCTACAAGAGTGAATAGCTGTTGATGGAGACTGTTAGTGGCTAACAATGGGTTGTGTGTAATAGCAGACCATGTGATAAATGGAGATTGGGGTAAGGATATGGGAGAGCTCAAGTCCAAAAAATATTGACCTCGATATTGAGTCCAGAAGGCTGTAGAGTTCCCAAGTGGAAAATGAGGTGCTGTTCTTCCAGCTTGCACTAAGCTTTGCTGGAGCACTGCAGCAAGCCTGAGACAGAGATGTTGTCCAGGGGAAAACGTGATGTGTTGAAGTGTCAGGATCTAGCAAACTTTCTTTGGACTGCCTCCAATGCCAGTATATCCTTGCAGAAACTGAATGGCCTAATCCTGCTCCTATTTTCCATGTTTCCATCTTTCCCTATATAAGGGGCCCAAATCTGTTCACAGTATTCCAGCTGTGGTTTGACTAGCAATCCAATAACAACTTGGTCTTTTTCCCCAGTATTGAATAATGCCAAGGGATCTTTTAATTCAATTTCAGCAGGCAAACACTTTATGTCTCACTTGACACGTGGCACCTCCAACAGTGTTGCACACATTCGGTACTGCATGGAGATATCACCCTAAATGATGTGCTCAAGTGGAGTAGGCCTTGAACTGTCAACTTTGGAGTTAAAAACATATTGATGATCATAGAATCCCTACAATGTGGAAACAGGCCCTTTGGCCCAACAAGTCCACACCGAACCTCAAAGCACCCAGCTATAACCCACCTAATCTACACATCCCTGAACACTACAGGGCAATTTAGCATGGCCAATCCACCGAGCATACACATCTTTGGACTGTGGGAGGAAACTGGAGCACCTGGAGGAAACCCATGCAGACACAGGGAGAATGTGCAAACTCCACACAGACAGTCACCTGAGGGTGGAATCAAACCCGGGTCCCTGGTGCTGTGAGGCAGCAGTGCTAACCACTGAGCCACTGTGCCACCCCACAATAACAATTGATGATATCAATTGTCTGGACTCAAGGGACAAGATGAACATAATTTCAATCTGAAACTCAATAAATCCAACTTTTGTTTTCAGTATGTTGAGAAAATTCTGGCTTGGAGATATTTTATGGCTCACTTTCTTCTTTTACAATAATAGCTTAGATTTATACTATACCTTTCACGTGGTGAAATGTTGCAAGGTGCCTCACGAGGAAAGTGAGATAAAATGTAAACTTAAATCTAAAAACGAAAAAATGGGAAGGGTGGCTTGAAGTTTGGTCAGAGGTGGGTTTTTTTAAAGATCTTAGCCGGCAAAATACGAATGGACGGGTTTAAGAAGGATTTCAATGCGAGATCTAGTTTTAATCGATCATATTTAACATCTAACACAAGTTGGATAATCTTGTAACTGCACTGTAATAGGACAGAAGCAAATTCCTTCACTTCAATGACTGATGGTGCATGGTGCCAGGACTAAAGATGGCGGCCCCCACATCGGCTTCAGCCACACACGGTGTGTGCCGGGATATTGGAGGACCACCGCAGCACCTTTGTCAACTCGTCTATGGAAAGGGAGCGTGAGCGGGAACTTTGGTTTGGCTTTTACTCTCAATCCACGGCCGTTTGGAAAGTTTTTCTCCCCGGAATATAGTGGTGCACAGTAGCGAGGCCTGGGAGGGTAAGGTGAAGCCGGTGTGGCTGACAGGGTGCGGGGAGGGGCAGTAAAGGCGACAGAGGGAGAAGGCCGTAGCCTTTGGTTCGCAATGACAAGAGCAACATGAACGACTCGAGGGGGACAAGGAGTTAGGGTATGGTGAAGGTGCAGTGTGGGTGGGGTACAGAGGAGAAAGAGGTGAGGTGAGGGGGGAAGAAGATAGAACAGAAGAGGGGACATGGGGATTGGGGAATGGGGAATGGGGATTGAGGATGGAGGATGGGGGGGCGGGGAATGCAGGAGGAAGGGAGTGTCCGCAGGGACAAGGGGAAAAATAGATTTGTAATCCTGTGCACCAAATGTGCCCCATCCCAGAGTGGAAGTGGCTATACAGGTAGTTGGATGCATTGGTGGTTATCCTTCAAAATGCAATAGCATTTGAAATGGTTCTTGCAGACTGTAGCAATGCAGCCCCACTATTTAAGAGGGAAGATAAAGTGCAAATGTACAGACCTGTTATTGACATCAGTCAAGAAAATGGTTGAATTTCTTACTGTAATAATTAGACACTTGGGAAAGATTGGGTAGACTTAGTTATTTTTAAAAGTTTGACAAATCATTTGGAATTTTTTGGGGATGTAACGTGTCTCAAAAATTAAAGAGAATGAGTGGATGTGGAATATTTGTATTTTCACAGGGCTTTTGATTAGTGTTGGTATTCTAAATTAGAGCATGTGGGAATGGGAATGATATACAAGTGTGGATTGAGAATTGATTAACAGACAAAAAACAAATAGGAATAAATGGGTAATTCTCAGGATGGTACGCTGTTACTAGTGGGGCACCAGAAGGATCCGTGCTGAGGCTAGAGGTGTTCACAATCCATATTAATTTTTGGATGTGGGAATCATATTATTTCTGAATTTACTGATAACACAAAGCTTGAAAGTGTATTATTGCAGAGGATGCAAGGAGGCATCAAGGGGATCTTGAAATGATAAATGTATGGCAGAATCATGGCCAATTGAATATAATGTCAATAAGTAATAAGTTATCCAAAACAAACAGAACGCTGTAGACACCCAACATGTCTGGCAGCATCTGTGGAGAGACAAACAGTTAACATTTTGAATCCAGTATGACTTTTCTTCAGATGAAGAGTCATACCAGACTCAAGGCATTAACTCTATTTCTGTCTCCACATATGCTGCTAGGTTTCTCCAGCATTCTGTCTGTACATTTCAGATTTCCAGCACCCACAATATTTTGCTTTCATAATAAGTTATCTATTTTAGTCAAGGAAAAACAACAAAAGGACAGTTTCTTAAATGGTGGGAGATTGTGAAATGTTGATGTCCAAATGGATCTGGGTGACCTTGTTTCTGAGTCACTGAATACTAACATGCAGGTACAGCAAATTATTAGGAAGGCAAATTGATATATTAACTTTAGTGAAAGGGGATTTGAGTACAGGAGTAAAGATGTCTTGCTGCAATTGCACAGAATTTTGATGAGACCACAGTTTTCGTTTCCTTATCTGAAGAAGGATAAATGTGCCATAGGAGGAGTGCAATGGGGGTTCATCAGACTAATCCCTGAGATAGAGGGTTGTCTGAGAAAACTGGGCTTGTATTTTCCAGAATGTTAGAGAATGAGAGGTGATCTCATTGAAACTTATAAAATTCTGACAGATGTGATGAGTTGATACGGTAAAGTGTTTTCCCTGACTGTTAAGAATAAGGAAACATAAATGGCTTACCTCTTAATCTAAGGTTAAGACTGAGAATGAGAAGTTCTTCATTCAGGTGAATTTTTAGAATTCTCTACTCCCAAAAGAGTTTGGAAAAGAAGGCACATTCAAAACATTCCCGGTCAGGGAATGCGAGTTCTGCTCTGCTTTTTTTTTGGGTGGCACAGTGGTTCAGAGGTTAGCACTGCTGCCTTACAGCACCAGGGACCCGGGTTCGATTCCAGCCTCGGGTGACTGTCTGTGTGGAGTTTACACATTCTCCCTGTTTCTGTGTGGGTTTCCTCCAGGTGCTCCGATTTCCTCCCACAGTCCAAAAATGTGCAGGTTAGGTGGATTGGCCATGCTAAATTGCCCGTGGCGTTCAGGGATGTGTAGATTAGTGGGTTATAGGGGTATGGGTCTGGGTAGGATGCTCCAAAGGTCAGTGAGGACTTATTGGGTCAAAGGGCCTGTTTCCACACTGTAGGGCTTCTATGATCTATGAAAACGGAACTTGATAGATTTCTGGCTACTAATGACATCAGAGCTTTTGTGGCACAGTGGTAGTGTCTGTACCCTTAAGCCAGGAGACCCGGTTCAAGTCCCACCTGCTCCACAGTGTGTAATAACATCTCTGAACATGTTGATTAGAAAATAATAGTTTTCTATGGGTTTAGCTTGGGAGAGTGGTATTGAGTAGATGAACAGTTCATGATTTAATTGAATGGCAGGGCATGCTTGATGGGCTGAATGGCCTGCTGCTATGCCCCTGTAGGGAGGGAAGGAGGGGATGCGAGGGGGTGAGGGGTGTGTTGATGATGGATAGGGAGGTAGGAAAAAGGATTTGGGGCTAAGGGGGTTAAAAGGGTGGTTGCAGTGAGTTTGGAAGGGGAAAGTGGAGGAGTAAGTGGAAATGGAGGGTAAAGAAGAGGATGGTACTAGAGCTGAAGAAATTCAGTTATGTTGAGATATTGGAGAAGCTGGGTTTACAGTTGGAGTCATACAGTTGTACAGCATGGAAGCAGACCTTTCAGTCCAACTTGTCCATGCCAACCAGATATCCTAAATTAATCTAGTCCCATTTGCCAGCATTTGGCACGTATCTCTCTCAACCCTTCCTATTCATATACCCATCCAGATGCTTTTTAAATGTTGTAATTGTACCAGCCTACACCACTTCCTCTGGCAGCTTCTGTGCACACATCACCCTCTGCATGAAAAGGTTGCCCCTTAGGTCCCTATTAAATCTTTCCCCTCTCACCTTAAACCTATGCCCTCTAGTTTTGGACCTCCCTCCCGTGGGGAAAAGATCTTGGCTATTCACCCTATCCATGTCCGTAATGATTTTATAAATCACTACAAGGTCACCCTCAGCTTCTGATGCTAGAGGGAAAAAATGCCCTGGACTATTCAGCCTCTCCCTATAGCTCGAACTCTCCAACCCTGGCAGCATCCTTGTAAGTGTTTTCTGAACCCTTTCAAGTTTAACAACTTCTTTGCAATAGCTGGGAGACCAGAAGTAAACGCAATATTCCAAAGTGGCCTAAACATTGTCCTATACAGCCACAACATGACATCTCAACTCTCAATGCACTGACCAATAAAGGCAAGCATGCCAAATGCCTTCTTTACTACCCTGTCTTCCTGCGACTCCACTTTCAAGGGACTATGAACCTGCACTCCAAGGTCTCTTTGTTTGCAACACTCCCCAGGATCTTAGCATCAACTGTATATGTCCCACCTGATTCGCCTCACCAAAATGCAGAGTAGAGAAAGTTTAAAGGGAGGCCAATGGTTTTTGTGAAAATTAGATGTTTTGACAGAACAAATAAGGTGAAACTGAAGCCACGGCCAGCAATGACAGTGCAATGAAAATCAGAAACAAGCAAGAGGCCAGAATTAAAACAGTGTTGAGATCGCAGACGGTTGTAGGGCAAGAAAAGGGAAGAGGCCCTTGACTCAGATACAGCAGATGGCTGTTGGTTTAGAGGGGATGATCCTTCCTGACCAACTTCTGTGTGAAAGTGATTGTCCAAGTAGACTGTGGAAAACCCCACTGTGGAATGCACCAAAATTTCCATGCAAAGTTCTACGTCATTAATTAAACTCAAAGCTGGGGAACAAGCGTAAATCCTTGAAATGGACAAAAACGTGGCTCAAGTGTTGAAAGCAAGGTGGTGGAAAAGGAAAGTAATGTGGTAATCCTAGGCCAGGTGTTGACACCACATTGGTTCCTAATTCACATCAGTTACTTGGAATCAGAAATTTGGTGCAATTTTTAAAATTAAATTTGGGGTCAGAACAGCAGTGTTTAAAATTGAAATCTGACAAGTCTTAAGCATTGCACAAAAGGAAAAGGTGGAATGTACTCCGTGAAGCAGGTTGAAACAGCTAAGAAAGTTAAGAGATTTTGGACACTTGATTTAAGGTTCAACAGTTTGGGAAAGCTAAATACCATTACTAGGGTCAGAAATGGAAAAGTATTCTATTTTGCAGCACTGATATTTTCAGTTTGACCATAAAAGTTCACCAATGCATAAATTTGGTGAACATATGTAAGTACTTTTGGTTGGAATCCTTTGGTTCTCCATTTTGCCGTGCTTTGGGTGAAAGTATGTCAGTGTGCCTTTTATTCTAGTTTTACTTCAGTGTTTTCCTGTGGTCTGATCTTGATTGTAGAATTTCGTTTGAACTTGCTACACCACAATGGCAGAAACTCCACAGCAGGATGACTTGGAAACAATCGGAAAGCTGAGGGTCCAAGACTTCCTTCTTCATTTCCAGATGGTCAAACAAGGTGCCGAAGCCAAAATCTACAGGGGCAACTTCCTTAGGAAGCCAACAATTGTGAAGGAGAGATTCTCCAAATCGTATCGACATTCTGCCCTGGATAAGAAACTCACCCATCGCAGGACTACTCAGGAAGTACGATCAATCCTCAGGTGCAGGAAAGCTGGTCAGTAGCTGTTACAATGGATTGTTCTTACTGATTGAAAAGCTGAAAGACCATCAAAATGGTGAAGGACTGAGTGGTTAACATTTTAAATGGGAATGCTCTGTCAGAAAGTGTTACTTCTGGATTTCCAGTGCTGGTTTACTACAAGAAGCCATACTTTATGAATTTTGTTTCTCTCAACAACTTTTGTCTCAAGTTCAGCAGACAGCCTGTACTTCCCAAGTAAACATTGAGCAATTGGGATTCGGAATTTTGGTTTTCATTTTTAGGAATTGCATTTTAAATTGGATGAGTCTAACCGTATATATAGATGCAAGTAAAAAAGGCAAGCATTTATTTACCAGCTTTTACTGCCTCCAGATATCCCAAAGCACTTTACGATGTTCTTCCTATTCGTTTTAATGGATAAAAATCCCTGGTTGTCCAAAACCAGCAGGAAATTCCAGCCTGTGTCACTGGAATCTAATAACTGATGTAACCAATTTTTGTGCATTGGTGCTTAATCCCTTTGATGCTCATTTGTTTTAGCAGAGGTGTTAATATAAGTAAGGTGGTTAACATTTATATCAGTAAGCAAAGATGTTTCGTATGTAGGCAGTATGTAAATTTGCAAACATGTCAACAGTAATTTTGGGGCTTGGCAGTATGATTTGTAAGGATGATTTGTGGTCCAGTAATTGTTACTAAAAGCATAAAAATCTGTAGTCATTTGATATTGCTTTGACCATCTACAGCTCCCCCAGTAGCCAGTTAGTCAGCGAAGTGTATAACTGGAGTTTTCATTGAGTTGCGTTCAGTATTCAGCCTGTGCCATGTCAGTTGATCTCAGCTGATGTTGCAGTAAGGGCATAACACCTGACTGTGTAGTGATTGGACCAGTGAAGGAAAAATTGGTTAAGATTCATAGTGTTAGCCTTGAATCAATAGAAAGTGTGTGAAAGTGTTAATATTGAGTTGGAGAATATTGGGCTCAGCTATGATACCCCATAAAATGAAATAGCCTGCTTTCAATTGCCATGTGGACCCAGATATTGGTTACATGGCGACAGTAACAGAGCAACAAAAAGCTCTCAAACTATCCATTCTGGCAGGAGTTGAACCTTCCATGCGTTTGGGGAGGAAGAAAATTCACTGAGTTAAAATGAAATATGTGGAAAGTAATTTTTTCTTATTTAAAATTTTAGGTATTGCAACCCCTGCGGTGTATTTTGTGGACTACAATGCAAATTGCATCTACTTCGAAGATTTAGTTGGGGCTATAACTGTCCGTGACTACATAACTTCCATTCACAGCTCTGCAACAGATACAGCAAAGCTCTTCCCCTTGGCGGAAAGAATTGGGCAGATCCTGGCAAAGATGCACGATGAGGATGTTGTCCATGGGGACCTCACTACCTCAAACATGATGATACGGCAGCCTGAGGAAGAGTTGAGATTGGTGCTGATAGACTTTGGTCTAAGTTTTATCTCTGCTTTGCCAGAGGATAAAGGGGTCGATCTTTATGTTCTGGAGAAAGCTTTCCTGAGCAGTCACCCCAACACAGAAAATGTGTTCAAAGTTTTCCTTAAGACCTACTCGACCGCTTCTAAAAAATCAGGCCCTGTGCTAAAAAAACTTGAAGAAGTTAGGCAGAGAGGGAGAAAACGATCAATGGTTGGATAACGAAAGTATTTTTATTTTTTTTGTTTTTTTCTTAACCCTTTATTGTAAAGACTTCGTCAAACTCTGTAAATAAAAAAGGTCTGGATTCAAGATGATATTTTCAGAGTTGAGAGTTTTAAATCGATTGCAATGGTTTCATAATTCAAAGAGCTATTATAAATAATAAGTATTCATGGGGTGATTCATAGTGGTCTTTGTATTGTCATTTGTGTCTTTACCTTCATTTGTTAAATATCATTCTAAGAGCAAGGTGACATATCTGTAGGAAAGTGTTCAAAAGAAACATCAATTTACATAATCCTGGTTTCAGCAACATTTTTTTTTTAAATAGTAATTAAAAGGGCCAAGGAGGAAAAGTTGCTACTTTATATATATATAAATTCAGAAATGACAAAGTGAAGTTTGGGCTGCAAAAACAGCAACAAGATTGTAGACCATGAAATGTTTTATAAGTCATCTTGGTAATGACAGTTAGGCTTGTTGTTCAGGACATTTTATCTTGGGAATTTATTAATCATTATATTGGATTTCCCTGGCTGCCAGTGATCCAGTTGCAATTCAAATTGAGCTGGAGCTATGTTGAATCTCACCTACCAAAATGGACTTGAGAACCTTTAGTTTGCAGGGATGAGCCCCTGTCTAGGAATGTATGTCGATCCATGCAATTATTAATGAGCCATTTGACAAATCTGACAAATTATTATTATGTTACTGTTAATATAGCTATTAGTGTACACTCGGATTATTCACCAAGTGTTGCACAACCACAGAATCACCTCTGATAGACATTTTGCTTTGGGTTTTGGAAGAGCAAGTTCATTTCGTATAGTCTGTACTCTGCCTATTGTGAGATGTAATCCTGCAATTGGGAAGCACTTAGAAACAAAAGGAACATATTAAAGCCCTCTGCCTTTTTTTGAATAACTCATGAGTTAAGAGAATTTATATTCCCTACTGTTTTCACAATGGCAACCCTATGGCCAATCAGGCAAATGGACAATTAATTAGCACCCCTTTACAATATACAAACAAGCAACAAGAGTAGGCCACTTAGTCCTCTTTGCCTGTTTCAACATTCAATAAGAGCATGGCTGATATGATTTTAACCTCAACTTTACATTCCTATATATCCCTGATAATCTTTCATCCCCTGTAGTATAATTGCATTACGGATTTGAGACTTTTCAAAACTGTTTTTTGTAGGGTTCTTGCTTGTAAATTTAGGTTATGGAATTGAAAATCCAGTGGATGATCCACTACATTACCCCGATCCCCATAATTTTTTTTAATGGAAAAAGTAATCCTCTGACTTGTAAGAATCTTGTATAACTTCAGACAAACTGTCTATACCTTTCCATTCTTTCATCTCGGTAATTTAACTGAAATATGACCAAAATTTAGTATTTCTTCTTTGGCTGTAAGATCTAATGGTTTCAACCAAGACCAAGTATTTTTGTTATTCTGTAACAGATGTGAGTATTGCTGGTTAGGCCAACATTTATGCCTATCCCTGATTGCCCAGAAGTCAGTTGAGAAACTAACACAGGGGAGGCAATGGCCGAGTGGTATAATCGCTGGGCTGTTAATCCAGAGACCCAGATAACATTCTGGGGACCCAGGTTCGAATCCTGCCACAGCAGATGGAAGAATTTGAATTTAAAAAAAGAAATCTGGAATTATGTGTCTAATGATTGACATGAATCATTATAATTGTTGGAAAAACCCATCAGGATTCACTAATGTCCTTTAGGGAAGGAAACTGCCATCCTTACCTGGTCTGGCCTACATGTGACTCCAGACACACAGCAATGTGGTTGACTCTTAACTGTCCTCTGGGCAATTACAGATGGGCAATAAATGCTGCCTAGCCAGCAACGCCTTCATCCTGTGAATGAATAAAAAAAATCTGTAGGTCTAAAATCAAACAGTGGACAGACCAGATAAAGACATTACTGAACCAAAGAAGTTTTTACAATGATTTAAAATGATTACACAGTTGCCATTAGGACAGTTATTAATTCCACGTTTAATTGAATTCAAATTTCACCATCTGTTATGGTAGGATTCAAACTCATGTCTTCAGAACATTCGCCTGGATTTCTGAGTTACAAGAGCATCACTAGACCACCACCTCTCTGGTTGCATGCTTGAATCTACAAAGCCCTACTTTGTCTTTAGATAGGCAGCATTCATGTTAATCACAAGCATGTTTTATTCAAAATCTGTTATCAGTTGTATTTAACTTCTAATGTTTTTTTTCTATTCATTTGTGGAATGTGGGTGTCACTGGTTGGCCAGCATTTCTTGCCCATCCCTAGTTGCCCTTGAGAAGGTGGTAGTGAGCGTTTTATTGTATTCACATCAAAAAGATAATTTCCATAAACAACAAGCCTTGTGAACTGATCCAGCAAGCTTGTACATTCCACAAAATGGAGTACCATGTCAACTATTAACTTTAACTGGCAGCTTTTTACAATGGAGACTACATAGATGTTTTATTTTCCTTTGTTCATGGGATGTTGGTGTTGCTGGCTGGGCTAGTATTCATTGTCCATCCCTAATTGCCCTCGAGAAGGTGTAGGTGATCTGCTTTGAACCACTATAGTGCATGGTGGGTACATCCATAGTGTTGATAGAAAGAGATTTCTAGGTTTACCATCTTCTCTTTATGAAATATATTGTTATACCATATTGTCAGACTTAAAAATATTTGTTTTTATTTCCAATTAAGATAATGTAATACTTTACAAGTCTATATATTATCACTACAGTGACAGAATGCCCCACTGTCAACATTCTGGATTTATCTATGACCAGAAACTGAACTGCACTTGCTATGGTTTTTTATTCACTTGTTTGATGTAGACATTGCTGGCTAGCCAGCATTTTACTGCCCATCCCTAGTTGCCCTTGAGAAGGTGGTGGTGAACTGTCTTGAATTGCTGCAGTACACATGCCGTAAGTTAACCTAGAGTGCCCTTAGGGAGGAAATTCCAGGATTTTGGCCCAGTGACAGTGAAGGAGCAGCGATATATTTCCAAGTCTTGGTGGTGAGTGGCCTGAAGGGGAACTTTCAGGTGGTGGTATTCCCATATACCTGCTGTCCTTGTCCTTCTAGGTGGAAGTGGTCAGCGGTTTGGAAGGTGTTGTCTAAGGATCTTTGGTGAATATCTGCAGTGGATCTTGTAGATAGTACACACTGCTGCTACTGAGCGCCGGTGGTGGAGGGAATGGATGTTTGTGAATGTTGTGCCAATCAAATGGGCTGCTTTGTGCTGATGGTGTCAAGCTTCTTGAGTGTTGTTAAGAGCTGCATCCATCCAGGCAAGTGGGGAGTATTCTGTCACACTCCTGACTTGTACTTTTTTGATGGTGGACACGCTTTGTGTGGATGAGTGCAAATCCAACAACACTCAAGAAGCTTGATACTATTCAGAACAAAGCAACCCACTTGATTGGCACCACATCCACAAACATTCAGTCACTCCACCAATGTTCAGAAGCAGCAGTGTGTACTATCTACAAGATGCACTGCAGTAACTCACCAAGGCTACTTAAATAGCACCTTCTAAAACCACAAACACTTCCATCTAGAAGGACAAGTGCAGCAGTTACATGGAAACACCACCACCTGCAAGTTTCTCTCCAAGTCATTCACCATCTTGACTGGGAAATATATCTCCATTCCTTGACTGTCGCTGGGTCAGAATCCTAGAATTCCCTCCCTAACAGCATTTTAGGTCAATTTACAACACATGGACTGCAGTGGTGCCAGAAAGCAGCTCACCACATGTTCTCAATGGCAACTAGAGATGGGTAATAAATGCTGGCCCACCTAGCAATGCCCAAATCCCATGAGTGTGTAAAAATAAATAACAAGAGGTTAATTTGCCAATATCCGAAATGCATTTCTTCCAGAGTTTATTATCTAACAAACTTTTGAAATGAAACATTGTTTTTGCAGAACTTCAATGATCCATTGTTGTAAGTAGGTGACAATTTATGTTTCAATCTGTAGAGTCCTTGTCACAATTCTAGAAACAACACTGGGGATATTGACAATAGAAAGAAGTGTCAACCAGTCCAAAATAAAGACATAATTGAAAGGGGATGATTTTAGTCCATGTTGATCAAGTTGGCTGTCAGCCAGAACTTGTTAATAATTTATACTATGTACGTTCTGAATTTCTCCTACGAAGCTCCCCAGATGGTTCATCCACATAGGATGCCTGCAATATGTTTACATCCTTAATGAAAATCAAGTGACTCTGGAATAGGTACATGGGTCACCAGACCCGAAACATTAACTCTGTTTTTTCCTTCACAGATGCCAGACCTGCTGAGCTTTTCCAGCAACTTTGTTTTTGTTCCTGATTTACAGCATCTGCAGTTCTTTAGGTTTTTATAGGTACATGCAGTGTCTGTTGGTTTATTGAAATCTTCCAATAACTAGTAGACATTGCAGATTATGAATTGTTCCAGCTACCAAATTTACAACTTAAAAGATTTCACCGTGCATTTTCCTTCTGCGGTCAGAATGTTTGTGGATTCGTAAGACTCTTATCAACCTGAATATTGGGCGACAGTAATAAACCATTCCACTGATTGGATCTGAAACATATCCACTATGCTTAATAGGTACAGTATTTTTGCCCCAAATAATTTAAAGTTTCTTGAATTTATATTTCCCAAATCTGCTAATAGCTTCATACAGCCTACCTGCAGTAGATAGCAAGTTAAAAAAAAAAACTGCAATTATAATCATAGAGTTATACAGCACGGAAATTGACCCTTCAATCCAACTCATCCATGCCGACCAGATATCCTAAACTGATCTAGACCAATTTGCCAGCAGTTGGCCCATATCCCTCTAAACCCTTCCTATGCATGTACCCATCCAGACGCCATTTAAATTTTGTACCTATCTCCACCATTTCCTCTGGCAACTCGTTCCACACACGCACCACTCTCTGCATGAAAACGTTGCCCCTCAGGTCCCTATTAAATCTTTCCCCTCTCACCTTAAACCTATGCCCTCCAGTTTTGGTGTGCCCTACTGTGGGAAAAAGACCTTGGCTATTCACCCTATCCATGCCCCTCATGATTTTATAAGTTTCTATAAGATCACGCCTCAGCCTCCCACGCTCCAGTGAAAAAAAGCCCTCTCCCTATAGCTCAAACATCCAATCCTGGCATCATCCTTGTAAATCTTTTCTGAACCCTTTCAAGTTTAACAACACACTTCCTATAGCAGGAAACCAGAAGTAAACGCAATATTCCAAAGTGGCCTAAACATTGTCCTATACAGCCGCAATATGACATCGCAACTCTCAATGCACTGACCAATGAAGGCAAGTGTGACAAACGCCTTCTTCACCATCCTGTCTACTTGCAACATTCTCCAGGGCCCTACATGTATAAGTCCTGTCCTGATTTGCCTTACCTAAAATGCAACACCTCACATTTATCCAAATTAAACTGCATCTGCCACTCCTTGGCCCATCTGATCAAGGTCCCGTTGTACTCTGATATAACCTTCTTCACTGTCCACTATACCACCAATTTCGTTGTCATTTGCAAATGTACTAACTATACCTCCATTATTCACATCCAAATCATTTATATAAATGATGAAAAGCAGTGGACTCAGAACCGATCCTTGTGGCACACCGCTGGTCACAGGCCTCCAGTTGGATAAACAATCTTCCACCACCACCCTCTGTCTACGACCTTCGAGCCAATTTTGTATTCAGTTGGATATCATGTGATCTAACTTTGCTAACCAGTCTACCAAGCGGAACATTGTCGAACGCCTTGCTGAAGTCCATATAGACATCTACCACTTTATCTTCATCAATCTTCTTTGTCACTTCTTCAAAAAAAACATAATCAAGTTAGTGAGACATGATTTCCCATGCACAAAGTCATGTTGACTATCCCTAATCAGTTCTTGCCTTTCCAAATTCATGTAAATCTTTATCGCTCAGAATCCCCTCCATCAATCTACCCACCACTTACGTCAGGCTCACCAGTATATTGTTCCCTCACTTTTCTTTACCACCTTTCTTTATGACACCACATTAGTCAACCTCCAGTTTTCCGGCACCTCACCAATGGCTATCCATGATACAAATATCTCAGCAAGGGGCTCAGCAATCTCTTCCCTAGGTTCCCACATTTACAGATTATAATTTGTTCCCTGGTCATGATCCTCTCCAATCAGGGATATCTATTCAACTCCTGTAATTCCTTCATTTTTAGTCTTCTCAATCCCAAAGCCACCTTACAAGGCTTCCTCAGTTTTGTCCCTCCCACTGTCAAGATTCCCTTGTAGTATATGGCCAATGTTTTCCTGCTCTAGTATAGCACTTTGAATTAAAGGAAACGTAGGAAAAATAAATTGTGAAGAGAACAAAGGAGTCTGAAATGGAAAGTAGGTAGATTAAGTGAATGGGGGAAATGTAGCAGATGGACCAAAATGTTGGAAAATCAGAATTTGACAAACTGGCAGAAAGAATAGGAAGGTAGCTCACTATTTAAATTGAGAAAGTTTGTAGAACTCTGAGGTAAGGAGGGATCTGGGTGGTATATTAATCAAAATGAGTTAATTTGCAGGTATAGCAACTGATGAGGAAAGCAAATTAAATAACGTCATTTTTTGCAAAGGGAATGGTATATAAAGTGGGAATGTTTCTCTTCAGCTGTACAGAGAGTAGGTGATACCCTACCTGGAATACTGTGTACAATTTTGATCTTCTTGTCTAAGAAAGGACATAACTGAGTTAGATGTTGGCCTGATTAGGTTCACTTGACTGATTCCTGGAATAGGGGTGGTTATCTTAAGAAAGATTGAACTGTTGGATCTGTATCAATGAAAGTTAAGAACAGTAAGAGGTGATCTTATTGAGGCATATAAGATCCTAAGAGGACAGGGTGAATGCAGAAAGAATGTTTCCCTTGCGGGAGAACTAAAAAGGCACAGTTCATAAGTAAGTGAGCATCCATTTAGAATGGAGAGTTGTTTTCTCTGTGGGTCATGATCAGATCAGATCAGCCATGATCTTATTGAATGATGAGTAGATTCGAAGGATTGATTAGTGTACTCCTGGTCCTAACTCATATCTTCCTATGTACCGAAATAAAAACATATTGTATAAACAGTTTGTATTATTACTTATCATGGGATAGCTCCCATTCGCAAAGAGGATGATGGCAGCAAACCTACGCCATGATTAGTAACAGTGCAGACGGCGTCATACAAGGTGATCTGTGGTGATGACTGCTTACACAGCAAACAGAAGGATTTTTTAAACAAAAACAGAAATAGCTGAAGAATGTCAGCAGGTCTGGCAGCATCTGTGGAGATAAAGCAGAGTCAAAGTTTCGGGTCCAGTGACAATTCTTCAGAACACAAGGGTTTTTTATCATTTTTTGCACAGGATGTGGCTGTCTCTGGCAAGACCAGCATTTGCTGTCCTTCCATAATTTCCCTTGAACTAAGTGGCTTGATAGTCTATTTCAGAGGACAGTTAAGAGTCAAACGCATTGCTGAGGGTCTGGGGTCATGTGTAGGCCAGAGTCAGGCTGACAGATTTCCTTCTCTAAAAGACATTAGTAAACCAGATGGGTTTTTGTAACAACAGTGGCAAATGCAATGTAATCCTGAAAGTTATTATGTGATACATTTTGGGAGAACTATAAAGGCAAGGAAGTACGCATAGTATGGTAGGTCCCTTGGAAGTACAGAGGATCAGAGGGACCTTGGTGTACACGTCCATAGATCCTTGAAGGCAACAGGACAGGGTATGTAATGTGGTTAAGACAGTACATAGGATACTTGCCTTTACTGGTCAAGGCATTTGAATACAAGAACAAGGAGGTTATGATGGAGCTGTATATTACATTAGTTAGATCACAGCTGGAGTACTGTGAGCAGTTCTGGTTGCAACATTAGAGAAAGGATATGAGAGTCAATGGACCTGAAATGTTAATTCTGATTCTCCCCACAATGTTGCCAGACCTGCTGAGCTTTTCCACCACCCGCAGTTCTTTCAGTTTTTTTTATAGGAAGGATATGATTCCACTAGAGAGGGCTGCAATAGAGAGTGGGTTGCCTGGACCGGAACAATTCAGTTAAGAAGAGAGACTAGATAGGATGGAGTTGTTTGCCTTAGAGCAAAGAAAGCTGAGGGGAAACCTGAATAAGGTGTGCAATGAGAAGCAAACACAGGGTAGATAGGGAGAAACTTTTCCCCTTAGTAGAGGGGTCAATAGCCAGTGGAGGGACAATTTTAAGGTAAGGAGCAAGACGCTTGTGGGTTCTGAAGAAGGGTCATTGGACCCAAAACATTAACTCTGCTTTCTCACCACAGCTGCTGTCTGTCCTGCTGAGTTTCTCCAGCAATTTCTGTTTTTGTTTCTGATTTCGAGCATCCTCAGTTCTTTGGGGAGTTTTTTGTTCTAGGTTTAGAGGGGATTTTATGAAAAGTCTTCAGGCCAAGGAAGTTGTAAGTATCTGTAACTGTGTAAATGGATGGTAGAAGTGGGAACCCTCAAGACATTTAAGAAGTACTTAGTTGAGCACTTGAAATGCCATAGCGTACAAGGAACCCATGTTCCGCCAAAAGAAAAAGTAAGGAACTATGCAAGTCCATCCAAATAGGGACTAAGCCGCTTTCACGTGACCGCTGCTTCCTCTCACCCCACCCAACACAATCGTCCGCGACAAAATGGCCGCTCCCGCTGGCGCGCCCGCCGAGCATGCCGGGATGCTGGAGGGCTCCACCGTCGCTGGCGCCCTCCAGTTTGTCGGCGTTTGTGGCAGAGCGCGGTTGGAGAGTTCGGCGCTGCCCCCGGGGCTGAACGGGTGACAGAAAGCGAAGAGCCGCCGGTGACAGGAGAATGAGCGGGGGCAAGACGTCCAGAGAACACTTGGTCAATGGCGGCGTGAAAGTGTCCGTCTGGAGTAAAGTGCTGAAGTGTAATGCGGCCTGGGAGGATAAGGTGAGAGCTGAGTGGGTGAAATGATCGAGCAGGGAGACGGATGGAGTGGCACCAGGCCCCAGGCAAGCCCCCACGTGAGTGTCTGCCTGACGCACTGTCAGAGCTCACTGAGGGGCAGTCACTGTGTAAAGCATTCCCGTGGAAAATCTCCACTCTCGGAAAATCTTCTGGGGCTACAGAGTTAACCCGTTTCCAAGCTTGGGCAGTATCTACCGAGGGAAGGGTGTGTTTGGGGTGGGGGAGAGAGAGAGAGCTGATTTACCCCCAGCCGCACAACACTAGTGTATCGTAGAGGTTTCTCACTTGTGAGACACCTCACAAGTTTGTGCATTGGCTCCAGTGCAAATTTTCTGACAGTGTATTGAGACCAATGTGCCAAACTTGACCAGAGATAACATGTTGGACTCTAACTTGGTGTCGTGTGACTTCTGACCTTGTCCACCCCAGTCCAACACCAGCACCTCTACATCAGCGATAACATTAGCAATCGTAGTGTAAGCTGAGCAGACCTGTCTGACAGCCATAAATCTTTTTGGTCGGTGAGAGTGATTGGAAGCGTAGGGCCTCATTTTTATAAAAATGTATGTGATTTTTTTTTTTGTTTAATTGCAAATGGCCAGTAATCAAAAATAGATAATTTGGGAGTACAGTGAAGTGGTGGAAATGTCACTGGATCACTGATATAAAACTACAGATCATTACTCTGGGGACATCAGTTCGATTCCCACCATGACAGATTGTGTTAAATTTGAATTCAGTAAAATCTGGAATAAAGAGCTAACTTAATGGATACCAATGTCAATTGTTGTAAAATCTCACCTGGTTATTCATGTCCTGGAGACCAGGAAATCTGCCATCGTTAGCAGTTTGGCCTGCACATGATTTCAGACCCTCAGCAATGTCATTGATTATTAACTGTTCCCTGAGTAATAAATGCGGGCCTAGTGACCAATGCTCATGTCCCATGAGCAAATATGAAAAAACATGCGCCATCTTAAACATTCACTTCCTTTACTAGTGATACATTGTGGCCACAGTGTATACCATCTGCAAAATGCACTACAAGTGACTGTCTTTGTGGAGTTACAACATTCTCCCCATGTCTACATGGGTTTCCTCCCACAGTCCAAAGATGTGCAGGTTAGGTAGATTGGCCATGCTAAATTGCCCATAGTGTCCAGGGATGTGTGGGCTAGGTGGATTAGCCATGGGAAATGCAGGGTTACAGGGAAAGGGTAGGGTCAGTGTAGGTGTGATGCTCTTCGGAGGGTTGGTGTAGACTCAATGGGTAGAATGGCTTGCTTCCACACTGTAGGGATTCTTTTTTTAAAAAAAAAAAAAAAAATCCTCACCAAGGCTCTTTAGGCAGCACTTTAAAGCCTGTGACATCTTCCACTTAAAAGGATAAAGGCAGCAGACATTAGAATTTGACCATTTCGAAGCCACATACCATCTGACTTGGAAATGTATCGCCATTTCTTCACGGTTGCTGGATCAAAACCCTGGAACTCCACCTTTAAAAACACTGATATATTGACACCACAGCGCTGTCCACATGTCACACAAAAATTAAAGAAGTAATATTGTAGTGTTGTGCCATCTGTCAAGTACAGTGCTATTTTGGTGAAATTGGAAATTATTTTTAAGAGAATCGTGTGAATATGGATGCTGTGTTTATTTTTCAGGGTGAGGTTGAATGTAGTGAAGGTATATCGGTCTAAAAAGCATGAAAGTTATATCTCAACTATACAGCTTGCATCAAGTAACTGGAGCAGTGTCTGTTTTCGGAGTTATTTCATCTGATTATGAGCACAGATGGTTTTAAGATTGCGTGACTTAATTTTACTTGGTGAAAGTTGCCATTTAGTGTTGTGAAAGATTTTATATGTCTATATTTATGTTCCTGTAAAGTAACAATGGTTATGCAAGATCAGTATACTTGCATTTTAGATTTTATTTTCTGATAGTCACAGTATAATAGTCGTGTAGCACAGAAACAGGCCCTTCAGTCCAACCAGTCTATGCCAACCATAATCCCAAACTAAACTAGTCCCACCTGCCTGCATTTGGCCCATATCTCTCCAAACATTTCTCATTCATGTATTTATATAAATGTCTTTTAAACAATTGTAACTGTGTCCACATCCATCACTTCCTTTGGAAGTTCATTCCACACATGGACCACTCTGTGTATTAAAAAAAGTTGCCCCTCATGTCTTTTTTTAAATCTTTCTCCTCTCGCCTTAAAAAAACCTCCTACTCAGAGGCATAAGGGGTGACCCTTATAGAAGTTTATAAAATCGTGAAGGGTATTGATGAGGTGAATGGCAGGTGTCTTTTCCCTAAGGCGAGGAATTTCAAGACTAGGGGGCATAGTTTAAAGGTGAGAGGAGAAAGATTTAAAAAAGACGTGAGGGACAATTTATTAACGAGTGGCTCGTGTGGAATGAACTTCCAGAGGAAGTGGTGGATGTAGGTACAGTTACAAGTATATGAATAGGGAGGGTTTGGAGGGATTTGGGCCAAGCGCAGGCAGGTGGGACTAGTTTGGGATTATTGTTGGCATGGACTGGTTAGGCCGAAGGGCCCATGTCTGTGCTGTATGACTCTATGATTCTCTAAATTTCCCACCCTACAGAAAAGACATCTGTACCCCTCATGATTTTATAAACCTCTATAAGGTCACCTCTCCACCTCCTAAGCTGCAGTGAAAAAGTCCCAGCTTACCCAGCATCTCCTAACGTTAACCCTCCATTCGTGGCAACATCCTGGTAAATCTCTTCTGAACCCTCCCCAGCTTAATCATATTCTTGCTATTAACAGGAATTGATTTCAATCAGTCATTGATTTCAATTATACTGAAGTGATAGATTTTAGTTGGAGACCCAGTTTGTTGACATAACCTACGTTCTATCTGACCCATAATAAGTTACAAGATACATAGATTTTTTTCAAATAATTTTAAGTCAATAGGATTTTATGAAATATGTATATGTTTTGTAAGAGAGTCTGAATTTGGGCATTTTTACAATTGAATATTGATAGATTCCCTGATTGTTATGTCAGTGTTTTTTCTGTCCATGTTGTGATTATGTTGTATCTGAGAGTCAGCAAAATTACAATATTCAGATTTTGTGGGCATCCATAATATTGGAGAAATTTCTGAAGGAGAGAATTAATCTCTACTTGGAGAACCAAGGTTTGACCAGGGATAATCAGTATGGCTTTGTCAGAGGGAAGTCATGCCTAACAAATTTGATGGCTAGCTCCTCAAAATTTTACATATGTAGTGCAGTTGACGTCATTTTTATGTATTTCAACAAAGATTTTGCCAAGATCTCTCATGGGAGACTGAGAATGAAGGCAAAAGCGCATGGGATCCAGGGTAACTTGGCAAGTTTGATCCAAAATTGCCTTAGTGGTAGGAGACATGATGGTGGTAGAAGACTTCTTGTGTGACTGGAGGTTAGTGTTCAGTGGTATACCACAGGTATCAGGGCTCAGTCCCTTTTATTGCTTTTGAAGAAAATGTGGAGAAAATGGATAAGTTTGTGGAGGACACAAAGGTTGACTGGATGTTTGACAGTGAAGAGGAAGGCCTTGGGAAGATAAAGGCGGCTTGGTCAGATGGGCAGGTCAGTAGCAGATGGAATTTAACCCTGAATCATGTGAAATGATGCACTTTGGAAGAAGGAATGTTGAATGAATGGCAGCACACTACAAAGCTCAGAAGAACAAAGGGATCTTGGAGTGCTTGTTCATATTGCTGAAGATGCAGAACAAGTTAATAGGTTAATTAAGAAGGCATACAAATGCTTGCCTTTATCAGATGTGGCATAGGTTATAAGAGCAGGGAGGTCATGTTGGAGCAGTACAGAACTTTGGTTAGGCCACAGCTGGAGTACTGTGTGCAGTGCTAGTCATGGCACTATGGGAAGGATGTGATTGCACTGGAGGGTATCAGAGGAGATTCACCAGCATGTTGTTTGAGATGGAGCAGTTTAACAGTGAAGGGAAACTGGATAAGCTCAGGTTGTTTTCTCAGCAGAGAAGGCTGAGAGAGGGCCTGATTGCAGTCATAGAGCATAGAAACAGGCCATTTGACCCACCATGTTTATGCTGACCAAGACACAGCAAGCTACACTAATCCCATTTAATAGAGTCATTATAGACGTCTGTAATTAAGGGCATTGGAAAAGTGGATAGAAAGCAGCTGTTCCCCTTATTTGAAAGATCAATAAAATGGCATAATTTTAAGGTAAAAGGCAAGTGGTTTAACAAGGATTTTAGAAAAACATCTTGTACTCAGAGTCATGGGAATCTGCAATGCACTGCCTGGGAGGATAATTGAGTCAGGAAACTTCACAACCTTTTAAAAAAATATTTGGACGAGCTCTTGAAATGTTATAACGTGCAAGGCTAGAGACCAAAGGCTAGAAAATGGGATGAGCATAAATTTAGAGTGGTTTTTATCTGTGCAGATTCGATGGGCTAAAGGGCCTCTTCTGAACTGTATGATTGGTTACAGAAAAAAAAAAGTCCTCAATCTGGATCCGGAAATTCACTTTGCCCTCTGGCTAACCTCTGTTTTGCTAGTAGCTACAGTTTACCTATATTTACCTATTTAAAGCAATGTTCCTAAAGACTGTTTGACAACAAAATGGCACAATCCTGCTTCAAACCAAAGACATTATTATAGTACCGGCATTTAGTTGCTGGCCCAAATGAGCTTCCAAAGGTCAAAACAACAGTAAAGCACCACTGACTGTAGGATCTATTTACCTTGGTTTCCTGACAGAATAGTTTTACTGAACTATTGTCTTTTTTTCTAAATTATGGCACCACTCTTTAGGAGTGATGTCGACGCTTTTCAGAGAGTGCAGAATACTTTACATAGGTAATTTATCCATGGTACCATTTTATTAACGTGGATGGATTGAGAAGCTTTGTTGTTCTTAGAGCAGTGAAGATTATGAAGAGATTAAAACCTTTGACGAGGCTGTGCATAGTAGACTAGTTACTAAAGTTAGATGACATGAGATTCAGAGATAGCTTGCCAATTGGATACAAAATTGGCTTGATGGTAGGAGGCAGAGCAGTGGTGGAGCGTTGTTTTTTGGACTGGAGGGCTGCGACCAGCGGTGTTCCGCAGGGGATCAGTACTGGGTCCACTGTTGGGTGTCATTTATGTAAACAGTTTGGATGAGAGCGTAGAAAGTATGGTTAGTAAGATTGCGAATGACACCAAATTAGTGGCATAGTGGACAGTGAAGAAAGTTATCTAAGATCTTGATCAATCGGGGTCAATGGGCCAAGGTGTGGCAGATGGAGTTTAATTTGGATAAACGTAAGGTGTTGCATTTTGGTAAGACAGACAAGAGCAGGGCTTATACAGTTAATGGTAAGGCCCTGGGGAGTGTTGTTGAACAGAGACTTAAGGTTTCAGATGCATAGTTCTTTGAAAGTCATGTCACAGACAGGGTGGTGAAGAAGGCATTAGGCACGGTTGCCTTCATTGCTCAGACCATTGAGTATAGGAGTTGGGACATCATGTTGCGGTTGTACAGGACATTGGGGCCACTTTTAGAGTACTGTATGCAGTTCTGGTCACCCTACAATAGGAAGGATATTATTAAATTGGAGAGGGTGCAAAAAAAATTTAACATGGAGCTTACTAGACTGGAGAGTTTGAGTTATAAGGGGAGGCTGGATAGACTGGGACTTCTTGCAGGAGTGTAGGAGTTGAGGGGTGACCTTTGTACACGTTTATAAAATCATGAGGGCATAGATAAGTTGAATATCAAAGGCCTCTTCCCTAAAGTAGGAGTGTTCAAAATTAGAGGGCGTAGCTTTAAGGTCAGAGAAGAAAGATTTAAAAGGGACCTGAGGGGCAACGTATCACACAGAAGGTGATTTTTATGTGAAATGAACTGCCAGAGTAAGTGATAGATGCAAGTACAGTTAAAACATTTAAAAAATCATTTGGACAGGTAAATGAATAGGAAAGGTTTAGGCCGATATGGACCGAACAAAGGCAAATGGGATTAGTTTAGTTTGGGACACTTGGGCATGGACGAGTTGGACCAAAGGGTCTGTTTGCATATGTATGACTCTCTAAATGTTCAGTTTTATAGTAGATAAGGAGAAGCTGTTTTCCATTTCAGATGATTAGTAATAGAACCAGAAAGTATGATTTTATTTTTAATGCAGTATTGCATGCAAAATTTGTCCTCTTCTATTGTCTGTAATCAGTGTATTTGAATATATGGTTTTTGCATTTTCTTTGCAGCAGAGTAATTGCCCTATTTTCAAATAATTCCAGCAGCAAGTTTTTGTAAGTTTAAAACTGAAGTTGTTTATTCTCACAGACCTGACCTGGATATTTAAAACGTGGTATCTCTTGTGCGCACTCTCTCATACAAAGATTAGATACACAAAAAGGTAAAGCAATGTTATCAAAATTTTTGATTGTCTCAGCCTCTTTTGTGGAAGACTTGTATCTTTTCAGATAAATTTGCACTTTAGTTGAAGTGAAGGTCTTGTAAAGCAAAGAATTCTTAATAAGCCATGAGGCTCTTTAGAGTCACTGTTGTCTGCAGTACAGAAAAAGACCCTTTTAGCCTATCACTTCCATAATGGTTGAATTTCCAGGGGGTTGGTTCTCATGAGAACTCAAGTGTTGGAATTGGTTGCAGGGGAGTCCTTCTCCTACTTTAAATATGTTGTTTATTACCTTGGCTGTTGACTTGCAGATTGTTCAGTAGTTTCTGATGGAACTCTGTCTCTGCAGCGTGGTTATTACTGTTACTTTTTAAGCATCTCTCAAAATGCTGACCACTTCACCTGACTTGTAAAATTTCATGATCCTTTTTCCAGCAGGAAATGAGTTGATTACAAATTCTGTACTGCCATTTGATATCCTGAGATGCAGCCAACCTAATTTAGCTGAGGGCAACCATCATAATTCAATGAAAGATCAATGCAATTGATTCACAGTCATGTAACGTACAATGAGTTTTGCTGTTTCTTTTTCCCTTGGTGAAACAGAATGATGGGAATGCTATCGTTCTTTTGTTGATGGTTTATCCTTAAAGGATTGTGTGAATTCCTTGGATGGCTGTGGATGTCCAAATTTAATTAGGTATTTGCTTGAGACTTAGGACTATCTAGAGTTCAAAATGCCAAAAGTTCCATGGCTTGCAGCAGCCATTTTAATTGTGTACTGTGTTCAAGTTTTTAACATTATTGAATGAAAATTCTTTATTTACGGAATGTAAGAGCAACAAGTTATGGTTATCTGTACCGAGCTATCTGAAAGGGCAGTGAGAGCAGTCTCATTAGTAGCTTTCAAAAGAGAGTTTGATAAATACAGAGGAGAAATACATTTTGTAGAATTATAGGGAAACAGTCAGGGAATGAAGGTAATTGCATAGCTGTTTCAGAGTGCTATCAGAGGTGCCCATTGGTCCCTTCTGTCATCACTCTGTTTCGAAGTAAGTTGCCATAGTCTTACCAGGTGATGGGGCTGCTCTCTCTTTAGATAGAGATGACTTCACACCTCAGGTGAGGGGGAAGAGGTTGAGAAGCATGTCCTTCATGATAACCTCAGCTGGTGCAGGAATTGATGCTATTGGCATCACTCTGCATCATAAGCTGACCATCCAACCAATTGAACTAACTGACCCTCCTTTCTAAGTAGAGTTAGCGAAGTATCAGATTACCAACTAAGCATGGCCCAGGTCCAATTTTCAACTTCTGGCAGCTGTGCCTTCAAATGTCTTGCAGTCAGTGCTAGAATTCCCTCCCTAAAGCTCAGCACCCTGTCTTCACTTTTAAGATGTTCCTTTAAGTCCAGTCTCCTTATTTATATTAGGAATTGTTCCTTGTCCTGATATCGCTTTGTGATTTGGTCTCAAGTTTTGGCTGACTACACACCAGTGAAGTGCCTTGTGACATTTTACTGTGTAAGAGGTATGATTTAAGTGCAATTTGCTATTGGCAAGAGCACTGGAAATTTCAGTATTGTTTAAAAGGATAAAAATAAGGCTGAGCAGAAGCTATCCAATAATGGTTAAAGAACATTACATGGGGTGGCACTAAGAATTTTGCCTTTTCGATCCTAATACTCGTCAACTTTAATGGCAACGGAGCTTTCAAGTTTAAAGAAAATAACTTTTTTTTGAAATTGTTTCAGACCTTGGAAGTAAAAGAAACAGGTAAATAAGCACATTGGTTTATTTTTAAGCTTGAATTCACTGCCACTACAACTACACAGAAAGCATTCACTGCCTACTAACAATGTCATTGCAATGAGAGGCCTTCATCAGTAAGTAGGAGCAATAAAATGAGGGTTTTTGAGTGTTTTAGATTAATTCAAATCCTGGGATTGCAATCGTTAACTTACAGCACTAGCCTACCATATATCAAACTCGTCACTGCCCCCCTCCTGCTCACCTCTCTGCTGCCTCACTGCTCACTATTTTCAGGAGGGAGGCAGTGAAGAGTCAGGAGCAGCGTGACCAGGGAGGTAATGAGGCAGGCACAGAGTGAAGGGTGAAGAAGGCAGCTGAGCAAGGCACATACTGTGTGGAGCAGCTGCCTCCCTAGAGGAGTGGGAGACCATCAAGTGGATACCAATTCATGTGTTGGATTGGACAGGGTTAACACCACAGCCAGATCAACTTTGAAATCTGACCTACTTTTCGGACTGTACTAATCGTGGATTCAGCATTATTATGTAGGTTTAAAACGTACCTTTTTGGTTGTGCTGTTTGTCATTTTGTCTAATGTCTCCTTATGTGACTCTGTTTTACTTTGTTCTATAAAGTCCCTGGACCATTTTATTGTGTCAAAGATGCAATTTGAACTCAGGTTGTCCTTTATATTATAAAGAAAAGTGATCCCACTTGATCCTTTTCAGTGAAACACAAAAGCTAATATTTTGTGTAACATGCAGCTGTGGTCACCTGAATTTAAGTTTTAAGTTAAAAATAATCTGGTAAAATTTGTGAAAAGAGCAGGAGAGCAATACTTCTAGGGCAGGACTTTGTCGTCTCAGCAGTTCCGGGTAAACTGCACTTTGTGTAATGCGTAAAGAGCAATGTGGACATGTTACAGTTTGAAATTGGAAGGTAACTTTTACAATTTGTTGGTCTTGAAAGAGAAGTACATAAATAGGAATGAGATTAAGCCACTTGCTCCCTTGAGCGTACTTTGTTATTTAACAAGATTGCGAACGATTGGCCTCTGCTTTTCCTTCCCATACTGAAAAACTACATCAACCTCCATCTTGAACATATTAAATGACTGAACGTCTGCAGCTCTGCAGAATTGAATATCATATCTTCACAACCTTTTCTTCACTCATATTTCCCCTTACCTTTAGTCCTAAATGACAGTCCCCTTTAATCTAAAATTAATCATGACTCGTTGCTCCAGCATCTCTAGGGCTTTGAAGGAGTCCCCTGATGCCTTCGAACCCATAAGGGCCAATGTTCACTGTGAATTAAAATTAAGTGACAGATACGTTGTGGCATGCAATTGTTATATATCATGCATTTTTATATATCATGATATGTTTCTGCCATCATAAACATAGCACTGCACTTGACACGTGTTTGGATATTATTGGAAAGGTAAATTGTGACACTACTACTTAAAAAGCTGGTGCTTCCATTTGTGAAATAGGACCATATGCATAAACTGAAGAGATGTTTGCACTCCATTAGTGCACTTGCACCTCCAATCAGTTTTTTTTATATTCAGATAAAATTCCATTACTATATCACTTATGGTTTGTCAATTTCTATCAAAATAGTCTTGAATTGAAGTGTACGGAATTGTTAGGTGATAAATGTTAATCTTTTTACAAGTTGCTTTCTTTACAAAAACGGTAGACTACAAATTGTGTGCCAAAGCTAATTGAATGTTTCTCCTCCTCCTTACAGGATGAGTTTCTAGATGTGATCTATTGGTTTCGACAATTAATTGCAATTTTTTTAGGAGTCATCTGGGGAGTTGTTCCACTTAAAGGATTCTTGGGAATAGCAATGTAAGTTCATGTAATGTTCCTTTTTTATTAATGAAATGGGAGTAAAATGTTTACTGTTGAAGGCATATTTATATTATGAAGTTACAATTCATCTCCATCCTTAATAAATTACTTTGCATTGTGCGGTTTAATGAAAAAAGATCTACTTCCTACTCCACCATCCTTTTTATTAAAAAAAGCTCTTTTTTTTTGTCTGCCATATGACACCTGCTAACCCATTGGAAAGTAAGCAGATGATTAGCTGTAATGCTGTACTAATTAAAACTTTAAGGAATAGGTTAGAGATAACAAGGTGTAGAGCTGGATGAGCACACCAGGCCAAGCAGCATCAGAGGAGCAGGAAAGCTGACGTTTCGGGTCTAGACCCTTTTTCAGAAATCTAGACCCTTCTGAAGAAACGTCAGTTTCCTGCTCCTCTGATGCTGCTTGGCCTGCTGTGTTCATCTAGCTCTACACCTTGTTATTGCAGATTCTCCAGCATCTGCAGTTTCTACTATCTCTGAAACAGGAATAGGTTGTTCAGCCCCACAGGCCCGTCTTTAATATCATGGCTGATCCGACACTCCTCATCCACTTTTCAGTCCTTTTCCCTTTAACCCTTGATCCCTGAGTGATCAAGAATCTATCTATCTATGTCGGCCTTGGATATACACAAGGACTCTGCCCCCACAGCTCTCTGTTACAAAGAGTTCCAAAAACACTTAGCCCTCTGAGAGAAGAAATCCCTCCTCATCTAGGTCTTAAATTGGCCCTTTTATTCTGCGACTATGCCCTCTGGTCCTAGACCGTCCCGTGAGGGGAAACATCCTCACAGCATTTACCCTGTCAAGCCCCTTAAGAATCCTGTACATTTCAATGAGATCACCTCTCATTCTTGTACAAGTTACCAGCCTGAAAAAGAGCCCTTATTCTCAACTTTGCTGTTTTCTGCCCGTGAGCCTATTCTCTATCCATGCCACTATACTGTCTCAAACACCACAGGCTCTTATGACTTAACTTTTTGTGAGGTACCTTATCAAATGCCTTCTTGAAGTCCAAATGCAACATATCTACAGGTTCACCTCTATGCAGTCTGGTTGAGACTTCCTTGAAAAATCCCCAAATTAGTCAGACACTGATTCTCTTCCATGAAGCCATGCTGACTCTGCTTGCTTATATTATGACTCTTGAAATCGGCTGCTATTACTTTCTTAATAATTTATCCCAGCATTTTTCCAATAATAGATGTTAGACTAACTGGTTAAGAAGGGTCTAGGCCCGAAACGTCAGCCTTCCTGCTCCTCTGATGCTGCTTGGCCTGCTGTGCTCATCCAGCTCTACACCTTGTTATCTCAGATTCTCCAGCATCTGCAGTTCCTACTATCTCTGGTCTACAGTTAGCCCCTTTTTGCTTCCTTCCCTTTCCTTGAATCTCCAGCATCCATAGTTCTTTGCTCTGTTCTAGGAAGAAGAGAGATTGTCCAGGCTGCAGTCTAGTAATAACCACGGAAAATGGGTGGGGCTGGGCACGATTGCATATGGCAGCAATGTCCACCACGATCGATCTGTCTAATCCACACTCCACATTCGCTAAAGGATAGGGTTCCTGACAGATATGGAACTGTATTCCATTTTGGGGTGGGGGTTCGTGGTGATAGAGGTGCAAGAGTGAATGACATAAATGCTTATTTGTTTTCAGTTCTCATGTTGGACAGGCATTTTTATAAATGCTCTTTTTGTGTTTTCTGCTTCTAGATTTTGTCTCATCAATGCTGGACTTTTGTACCTCTACTTTAGCAGCTTCCAGCAAGTAGACGAGGAGGAGTATGGCGGAACCTGGGAGTTAACAAAAGAGGGATTCATGACATCTTTTGCATTGTTTTTGGTAACTGGTTATTTCCACACTTGGAATGTAGGGAAATTCTGCCAATTAGTAATTTTTGCACTATGAAATATTACAGATTTCAATACTTCAGTTAAATCCTCACCCTTTTTAGAATGACACACAAGCTCAATAAACTTGTCTTGCTGATGAATTTGTTTTGTATAAATGCCATTCTGTGACTGGTATGAATTGTGTGGTTCCTTATTTCTATGATGCGCCTAAAGGAAATACATTTGGATATGTTCTGATTCTCCAAGTCTCATTTATTTCACAAGTCATTTGATTTTTATTTTCTCATCAGCCTGTTCAGAGATGTTGTTACACGCCTGTTCAGAGATGTTGTTACACACCTGACAGCACCAGGGACCAGGGTTCAATTCCACCCTTGGGTGACTGGAGTGTGCACGTTTTCCCTGTGTCTGTGTGGGTTTCCTCCAGGTGCTCTGGTTTCCTCCCACAGTCCAAAGATGTGCAGGTTAGGTGGATTGTTAAATTGCCCATAATGTCCAGGGATGTGTAGGTTGGGTGGATTAGCTATGGGAAGTACAGGGATAGGGAAGGGGTTGAGCCTGGGTGGGATGCTCTTCAAAGAGTCAGTGTGGACTTGTTGGGCCGAATGGCCTGTTTCCACACTGTAGTGATTCTATGACCTCTGGAGCACGTGGGGCATAAACACGAGTCTCCTGGCTCAGAGGGAGGGTGACTGCCAGTGCACCACAAGAATCTGGATATATTTGTTTTAGATTATTAGTACTAGAACCAGAAAGTATTAAAGTAGATATTATTTGGGAAATTACTATGGCGCATACAATTGACAACCTTAAGGTTATTGAAAGGCTTTAAGTAGATGAACCATTGCTGCATTTAGTGTAAAGGTAAATTAGATTTGAAAAGAATTTCGAAGCAGGCAGGAGAAATAGCAATAAATATGTTGCATATTAATGGCAGTCAGTGCCAAAACAACTGAACGATGATAAAATGAATATGTTTTCTTTCAGACTTCGAGATGAATTAGCCATTTCTGAGTGTGATGTTAAGTTAGCTGTTTTCGTACTTGTGTCCAAAAACAAAAAACGGGTTATAACATTACCTAATAGTCTATTGCTCTCATTCTATGCATATAGAGCAGGTTGTCATAGAATGCAACGATCAGTTTAACTTCTTTAAAAACTGAGTTATTTTAAACAGTTGAAGGGAGTTAGATTTGCAATCTCACCAGGTGTAGGAGCTGTAGATCTCCTTTTGGCTAACTTAGAATGGCTAGGAAAAGCTTGGAAGCAGAACCTGTAAGGAGGATGAGGAATTGTAGTTGATTTATGAGGTAGTTGCTGGGGGCAAGTGTTGCTTGGAATAACAAGGATGGTGTATAAAAATGTGGATCAGTCAAAGTGAAAATAGCAATTACCTTGAAGCATTTCTTTTTAAAAATATGGCTTCCATATTGAGATTGTCAAAGATATCACATACAAGTAAAAAAAAAAATTGGCACAAGGTGTAGCATTTGATTAGAAACATATAAATGTACTTTGCCTGATTCTTCTGTTTGTGGTGTCTCTCCTTGCCCTGAATCAGAATATTATGGGTTCAAAACCTGTTCCAAACTCTGGAGCACAATATTTAGTTCTGAATGTGCTGAACGGAAAACAGTGCGTATGTGCTGGAAAGTGCACTAATTGGGAGCAAATCCATTTAATTTTCATACACTCCAGAGTGAAATAGCCTGATAAAACTTCCCCTCTGGGCTGATGGATGACAAATTGGTGCCTGGATTGTGCGTGTTGGAATACAAGTCAACTCCTTTTAGGAGCTGAGAGGAGGGGAAACCTAAGTGCAGGCTAAATTGGTTAAAACATTTTTAAATTAAGTTCTATTATTGTCTTTATATAATACCCAAATGGTGACCTGAATAATTTGTGCTGTGCGGATTATTTTAGTTTGTCTAGCTTTTTTGTCATAGTTTTTTTTTAAATTTAACCTATTTTTCTAATCAACCTGTTCAGAGATGTTGTTACCCACCTCTGGAGCAGGTGGGACTTGAGCCCAGGCCTCCTGGTCCAGAGCTAGGGATTCTATCTCTGCGCCACAAGTGGGTCCCTTTTTATTAAAAAAAAATTTACCACTGGCCAAAGTGGGGTTTGAACACATGTTCCCACAGATCCTATGCTATTATTCCAGTGACAGTGCCAAAAGAAAGTGACTGCTTTCAGAGTAGCTTGTTAACTCTTTCATCTTTTTTCCCTTCCAGGTGGTTTGGATAATTTTTTACACTGCAGTTCACTTTGATTAAAGACTGAAAATAGCTGCCTGTCCCTGTCAAGTTTAAATTACAAAAGAGAAATTAAAACACTTCAACTGTGTTTACATTATGAAAACTGGCAATAGTTCAAATGTTTTGTGCCATCAAATCACGGGACCTGTGATGAAACCTTGGGATATCTTGCAGGAAGCAGTATTCCCACAGAGGCTGTTTTAATATCTGCAATAATGTATGGAACATCCCAGGAATCTTACAAGATGTGGATCTCTATATTAAGACTGTTTCAAGAGCTCCAGAAGCATTGAAGTCTGATGACAGCCATGTCAAAGTGCAGCTTCCCTGTGTCATACCCTGTAATGTCGGTACTCTTGTTAGTATCTGTTTTAATTTAACAAATGTAAATTACTTGTAGAATTGGAGAAGAAACATTAATTTTTGACTTGTACATCTTTCAGAGTTTGTATTTCAGTCTTTATAATGGAAAATGATTGCACCTTGGGTGGCATTAAAATTACAAGAGTGTTTTGTACCTGTTTTAAAGATCCAAGTGTTCAGCCAGCATTTCAAAATTACACTCATCCAGTAAGGGCCTATTTCGAATTTCCCATCCTGACACCTATTCTTGTCTTCCTCCTTTGTTTTTGTTTTGATACAAAGATGTTGTCTGGTTACATGGATAGCTACCAAATACTCGATTTTTGGGGTACAGTGTTTTGAAAGCTTTACCTGTCTAGTAAATATCAGAACATTGACTATCAGTAGAAGACCTTCTTGTCTGTCCAGGCTAGTCCATGTATTTGTTTAATACCTTGTACATCATGAGATATTCATGCACCATCCAATTGTTTTTTTAAACTGAGACTTTCCAGGAGAGACAATAAAAACATTTTAAAACCTGGGTCAATGTTTGAGGAGAAAATCTTGATATTTCCTCTCAACTCTTACCAGATTGAAACTAGTCCAGAAAATCACTGACTTCTGTTAATTCCTTCCATTGCTTCCTTTTTTGTAAGAGGTAACCTTAGCCACAAGTAGGAGCAGGTGCAACTCTTGCTTGAAGAAATTTGATGAATTAGTATCTACTACTGGAGGCAGCAGCACGTTACAGAGCTCCAGTATTCTGTGACAAAAGAGCCACTAAGGCCTCATCTTATCCATCTTAAAATTATGACCATTGGTCCTCACCAGTCTCTAGAATTGGAACAAATTGCCAACTTTCGAGCCACTTAGTCCTTGAATCATCCTGATCAAATTGCCCTTGTGTCTGCTCTTCTCAAAAGTGGTGACCCAGCTCTCTTCTCTTGATAAATTCTATTTTAATACTTAGAATGAGGTGCAAAACTATATAAATGAGGCACGGTAGTGGGAGAAGTCAATATGCAACATGAGTGACCTGCTAGATTGTATTAGTGCTGAAGGAGTGCAGTCGGTACTGCATGTGGAATTTGAGGTGATCTCAATTATTAAAATATTCTTCAAATAAGATCACAGGTATATGGCTCAATGTTCAAATGTTGCTTTGCACCCTGATGTTATAGTTAATATTTTCATTGCTGTGACCCACTTTCTTACAAAATCCCAGTCTCCAGATTTTTCTCTAGTGTTTCATAGTATGCAGTCTGTTTCAAGCTGATGGACTCTGAATTTTCAACAAAACTCCTCTTTATTTCTTCTGTTCAGTTTGCTCATCACTAACTGTGTACCAAGGTTCAAATGATCCGAAGATTTTTTTTAAAGTTTGATAAGAAGGATGTGCCTGGGAGCCTTTAGATAGCTGTCAGTAGTGAATTCAGCAGCAACTTTGAGCTGCCTTTGAAAAGATGAAGAACAGAAACAGTTAGTTTGGGCATTAGAAGAGCAAAGGGCTATGGTTTGTGCTTTGTCCATATTTGCTGTGAATCTCTGCTGTGGTAGCACTGCTGGATGCAGTGAGCAAGAGCTCAATGCTTCTCCATGGATTTGAGTTTAAACAGACTACATCTTTCTTACTCATCCCACTCAACTGGAGTTAGAACCACGGCTATGATAGTCATTTGACTTGTATGTGTTGGGTATGTTTCAATGATTTGTATGCAGGAAGTCCCTGTTAAGGGAGTAGAGGAGAGCCACATTCCTCAAAGCGATCATAACTTCTTGGGGGAAAAAAAAACCGACAGATTTGCAGATGCTGAGGAAGGGTCACCACACCCGAAACATTAACTCTGATTTCTCTTTACAGATGCTGGCAAACCTGCTGAGGTTTTCCAGCAAATTCTGTTTTTTATTGTTGATCATAGCTTCTGGTTCTGTGATGGAACCATACTGATTGCTGCTGTAGAGGCCTTGCAAAAATAAGGGAGTAAATATTCCATTCAATTTAAAGATGGTCTTGCACATTGTATCCTGTCTTGAGCATGGACATAGTTTAAATATTAAAATAAAAGTACAATTTACTTTGATTATATAATTTTATTCTGAAAAATCCTCCTGAGTGCATTTTACAGTTGTCACAGTTTGACTTACTGCCTTGAAACTAATGAATATCAAAGTATGGAAAGTTGTGATGCAAAGATGTAATCTGAATGCAATGGTTGTCTGATCCTTTATATGTTAATATGATTTCATACTGTGCACTCTATGGCCTTGTCTCTATGAAGTGCCAGCTTCTTTTAGGTGGTGTCACTCTTAACTGAGTTAAAGGTTGTGGGTACACATAGCAGCATTGAAGGTAACTATCTGGTCCAGGCTTAACATAAAGACAATACAGGCAGAATGCTGCATTGTTGAAGGTGCCACCCCATCCCTCAGAAGTTATGAAACCAAAGTTTGACTGCCTGTTCTAGTTGATGTAAAAGATCCAATATCACAGTTTGCTGAAGAACAGGGAGTTCTAGTGCCCTGACCAACGTTACTACCTCAGTCAACAGCACCACAACAAATTTACTAGATTTTTGAAATCTTATTTGCTGTTTCCAGCACTTTGTCCAAATTGGTTTCTGCAGATGCCTGTGTAACATTGTCTACATCAGACAGGAAACTAACTGGATGTGAGGAAATTTTGGACATCTTAAGGGAACTCTCTCTTCTTTTCCTTGTATCCCTCTCCTACAGGTTTGTTCCCCATTGTCAGAATTCTAAGGAAACATTGAATAATCAGATCTAAATGTTATTGTATTTATCACACACCAAAGCAGTTAGTCCTAACAACCCAAATAAAGGGGAATGTTGCTTGAGATAAGAATAGTTTTGATGGAATAGAAGGAGCAGAAGAGAAGTTCTTTATTTTATCAGAATGACAAGTCATTGCACTGGTAATATTGATTTAGGATGAAAGTTTGAATTGTATAAGTGCAGATTGACCATTAAAACCATTTCTGATGAGTGTTAATGCCATTTTAAGAGTTCTTTTTACTTTGTTTAATTCAAATGTTTTCTTGTGAAAACAAGAATATATCTGTTCAGCAAAATCTTATCGTAAGGTGGAACAGGCTTGACAGGTTGAGTGGCCTAGTCTTGCTCCTAATTCATTTGTTTCCATGTGCTCCTAGGTTTCATTGCCAAGTAATACTGACCTTTGACTATACCTACAGCACAGAGGCTGATGAACTTCAACCATGTTCTCCTTTTAAACACTGAAGGGAAAATGTATTGTGTTTTATTCTTGGTTACAGGCATGAATTAGTCTTTTCACGAGATCACCTGAAAAGTACAGTCTTAAATTTATACTGTGTTTGACTTGATGTTTTCATCTCAGTGCATATATTAGCACTACCAGTTTAAATTGAGCATGTTTCTTCTAAAATGTCTTGAGTGCATACATTTAAGCATTTGTTTATAAACAATGGTGTTCTAAATTAGTTGTACTAGGATAGTCATTTGTACTGCAGCAAACCATCATCATGCTTTGTTCTGAAAAATAGTGGTAAAGCAACTGGAGTAGTAATCCAGAGGCCAGAGTTGATGCTCAGGGGACGTGGGTTCAAAGCCCACCACTGTAACTGGTGAAATTAGAATTCAGATACTAAATTTGCAGTGTAAAGATACAATCAATTGTTGTAAAATCTGTTTCACCGATGCTCTTTAAGCAAGGAAATCTGCTGCCTTTTACCTGGTTCAGCCTGCATGTGACTCCAGGCCAGTAACAATTTGGCTGACTTTTCAGTGACCTCTGAGAAGGCCATAGCAATTCACTTAATTCAATGGAAATGTGGGATGAACAACAAGTGTTGGCCATGCTAGGAGTACCTGCATTCCATGGAAGAATTATATAAAAGTCTACTCTTCATGTGAGCTAAAATTGCATTAGAGTTAAGTAATCTATCTATCTTCGATTATTTTCTTACCAAACTTGACACATTGAAGCTGTTGAGGTAATGTATTTTACCACCAGTTGTATCTAGACTTTAAAATCGTGTAGAATATTACAGCACAGAGGAAGTCATTTATTCAGCTATGTCTGCCAGATTTTTGAAAGAACTATCAATGATTCCCATATTCTTGCTGCTTGGTCAAGACCCTACAAATTTTCCTTTTCACATATATACCTAATGTCATTTGAACGTAACTATTGAATTTGTTTCTACCTTTTCAACTGCTGCTATAATCGTAAAAGGAGATCTTGCTTTCCCCTTGCATCATCTTGCCAGTTACTTTATTTTACTGGTAATAATCATCTTGCTAGTGGAAACATTCTCCCCAATTTTCCAAACCCCTAGTACACTGAAACAAACAAAATAGGAGCAGAAGTTGGCTATTTGACTCATCGAGTCCACTGCCATTCAACATGATCATGGCTGACCTTCTAGCTCGATGCTATACTCCTGCTCTCTTCTCTTACCCGTTGGCATCTTTAGGTTCTAGAAATCTATTTCTTAAGTATATGCAGTGACCTTCCCTTCATAGCCTTCTGTAATAGAGTATTCCAAAGATTCACTGCCTTCCTGAATGAAGAAATTTCTCATCTCAGTCCAAAATGGCCTACTGCCAGGTAGAGGATCCCCAATTATCCCTTTGTTCTGTGATAGAAACATCATTCCTGCTGTTCCAGCCCTGTCAATTTTACACATAAGAATAAGAGGGGATCTAATTGATATGTGTCAACCCAATCTCTCCTCGTATTACAAACCTAACATCCCAGGAATCTGTCTGGTGACCCTTCTCTGCACTCTCTATGGCAATTATATCTTAGTTAAGGAGACACAAACTGTAGAGAATATTTTAGATGTAGCCACAGAATCTCTAGAGTTACAGTAAGACTTCCTTGCTCTTGTACTCAAACTGTCTTGCAATGAGGGCTAACACACTATTTTACCTCCCTAACTGTTTACTGCACCTACAGGCTTGTTTTCAATGATCAATATACATTAACAAGCTATTGCCATTTAAGTTATATTCTGCCATTTTTTTTTCCCATGGAGTAAACAACTTCACATTTGTTCAAGTTATATTATATCAGGCATGCATTTGCCCTTTCGCTTAACTTGTCTAATTTCACTGAAAACCCTAAAGGTCCTCCTCACCACTCTGATACCCCACCTAATTTTGTACCAACAAACTTGGAAATATTACATTTGATTACTTCATCCAAATTGTTGGTATATACTGTGAATTTCTGGGACCCAAGCACTGATCCCTGTGGTATCCCACATGTTACCACCTTACACTCCACAAATGACATTTATTCCTACTCTCTGTTTCCTGTATGCTAACGAGTTCCCCATCCATCCAGTATGTTACCACTAATCCAATGTGCTTGGACTTTGTGGGACTTTATCAATAGGTTTGACAAACATGATTTTTTTCTTGTATAAATCCATATTGACTTTGTGTAACTGTTTTGTGTAGTGCTATCTTTGACATATTAACTAACTAACTGGATGGAAAAGTATAACACAGGATCTACTTAATCATAGAATCCCTACAGTGTGGAAACAGGCCCTTCGGCCCAACAAGTCCACAGTCAGAGCATCCCACCCAGACTCATTCCCCTTATAACCCACCTAATCTACACCTCCCTGAACACTACGGGCAATTTAGTATGGCCAATCCACCTAACCTGCACATAACATAACTAATACATTTTCAGTTTAAAGCTATATGTGCTGCCAAAGTCCGAGGAAATGAATGCTGAAGCAAAGGAGATTTTAGGAGGCATATCTGAAAACTTGGTTAAAGGTTTTAAGAAGGCCTTTGAAGTGAGGAAAATTTAGGGAAGTGAGACAAATGAGAAACAAAGTATTCATTCCTTCAATACCAACCATCTATTTACTTGCAAATCTTGCTGATGAGTTGTCAGGCCATCCCATTTGAAGGCTATTATTTAATATGCTGCTATAACTCCTTAAAGTCTAGCTTTTATTCAAATTCCCTTAACTAAAGCCACCAAATTCCTCAAATTGGAAAATAATAGAATTCATGGTACCGTGTCTAAAGAACAGCAATTCATGGCAAGCTGAAGATGAACCATAAGTTGCAAATTGTTGGACAAATTGCACTGCTTTACCATTAGCCTTGAATAAACCACCAGTGTCAAGACATTGCACCAATAAGATAAAATAGTTTTGTCACACATTTTGGGCCATAATCTCATGTTGGAAGGATCCTGTTAATGATTTAATTTATGATCCTGACAGGACTAGAAAACATACAACCAAAAATAATCAAGAAATCTAGTGGAATGCTGGCCTTTGTGTCTGGAGGACTGGAGTATAAGGATGCAGAAGTTATGCTTCAGTTACACAAAAGCCTGAATGGAACCCATCTGGACTACTGTGAGCAGATCTGAGCACCACGTCTTAGGGAGGATACATTGGCCTTGGAGGGAGTACAATGTAGGTTTACAAGAATGATACTTTGACTTTAAGGGCTAAATTTTTGGGAGAGATTACAAATTAAGCTGTTTTTCTCCAGAATTCAGAAGGTTATGGGGTGATCTGATTAAAGTCTTCAAGATATGAACAAAAAAAAGACAGTAGATAAAGTTAAACCATTTCTACTGGTTGGAGATTCTAGAACTAGGGCGCATAACCTAAAACTTAGGGCCAGACTGTTCAGGAGAGACATTTAGGAAGCACTTCTATGTACAAAGGGTAGTAGATGTTTGGAACTTTTTTTTTCTACAAAAGGAACTGCTTGCTGGATCAGTTTTTAATTTAAATGTGAGATTTTTTGTTGAGTTGAATTAAATTTGCTCTGAACATGAAATGACAAAAAAAAATCCAATTCTGGAGGTCAGAGTGCTCTAATCACAATAAACAAATGTTTATTAGTGATGTGAAATCTAACACTGTACAAGTTAGATATGTTACACAGTTGCTTCTGCTCAGTTCTTTTAACCTCTTTGTTGACAGTATTAACAAATGGAGTTCCTCAACCAGTAAAGCAGCAGCAAAGAATTTTTGTTTTTCTCTAGTGAGGACTGATTGTTGTATCTACTAACTCTCCCTTGCTTTAATGGAGATTAGAGAATAGAAAACATACTTTATTGCTTCTTGGTATTGATAAAATCTCAAAGATACATACCTAAGTAATCACTGCCTTTTTTTTCCCCCATAGTTGGAAGGTGAACTCATTACGTGCCATCATCAAAATACTGGCACTCATTTGTGGGACATGGGCTGTGTTGTCTAGGCCAGTAGTTATTGTCCATTCCTAGTTGCCTGTGAGAAGGCAAGTTGTCTCTTGAACTGCTGCAACCCACGAAGCTGTTGGGGAAGGAATGTCAGGTTTTTGATTCAGCAACAAGGTCCAAGGAATAGTGATATATTTCCAAGTCGAGATGATGAATGGTTTGGAGGGCAACTTGCAAAGAGTAGTGGTATTCCTGTGTATCTGCCGCCCTTCTAAATGTTAACGGTCATGGATTTGGATTTGGAAGGTGCAATCTAAAGAACCTTGGTGAATTTCTGCACTGTACAGATAGTACACACTCCTGCTACTGTGCATCAGCAATGGATTGAGTGAATATTTGAAGATGTAGTGTCAATCAAATGGGCTACTTTTCATAGAATCTCTGCAGTGGACCACCCCAACCTAGTCCTGTAACATTGCATTTACCATGACTAATCCACCTAGCCTACACATCTTTAGACTGTGGGAGGAAACCCATGCAGACATGGGTAGAATGTGCAAACTCTAGGTTGTCATTGAACCCAGGACCCTGGCAGTGTGCTGTCCTGGATGGTGTCAAGCTCCTTGAGTGTTTATTGGAGTTGCTCTCATCCAGGCAGGGGTGGGGGAAACATTTCATCACACTCCTGATGTATCTTGTTGATAATGGTTAGGCTTTGGGGAAGTCAGGTGGTGAGTTATTCACTGCAGGATTCCTAACTTCTGACCTGTTCTTGTAGCCATTGTATTTAATAGGGCTAGTCCAGTTTATGGTCAATGGTAAGCACATTCCCACCACCATGATGTTGTTAGTGGGGGAATTCAACACTGGTAATGCCACTAAATGGTTACATTCTCATGTTTTGAGTCATTGGCTGGCACCTGTGACAAATGTTTCTTGCCAATTATCAGCCCAAGCCTCAACATCGTCCAGGACTTGCTGCATTTGCACATGGACTAGTTCAATACATGAGCAGTCAAGACTACTGGTTCTGAATATTGTCTGGTCATCACCAAACATTCTACTTCTGACCTTATGGAGGCAAGGTCATTGATAAAGCAGCTGAAGATGGTTCAGCCTAGGTTGCCATCCTGAAAAACTTTGCAGAGATTTCATAAAGGTGAGATGCCAACTAGTACAAAATAAATTATACTTAGTTATCATAAATCTTTCTCTAGTGACAAGGAGCCTTGTCTATAATTGTCAGAGTAATGAATGGAATTGATGACCCCTCTATAGTCACAGTGATCATTGACCAACATTGAATCCTTGAGTACTGGCACAGTTGGCACTCAAAATTGTAGACCTGTCATAAACAAGGTTCCAAACATTTTAATTCCTTTTTATTCATTCACAGGATGAAGGCCTCACAGGCTAGGCAATGTTCATTGCCCATCGGGTTGTTGAGAGTCAACCATGTTGCTGTGGGTTTGGAGTCACATATAAGCCAGACCAGGTAAGGATGGCAGTTTCCTTCCCTAAAGGACATGAGTGAACCAGATGGTTTTTCCAACAATTGACAATGGATTCACAGTCATTAGACTCTAAATTAGAGATATTTATTGAATTCAAAATTCCACCATTTGCCATGGTGGGTTTCAAACCAGGCTCCCCGGAACGTTATCTGGGTCACTTGATTAACAGTCCAGCAATAATACCACTCGGCCATCACCTCCCCATTGATGAATTTAAAATTGTGTATCAAAACAAGCCAAGCTATCCCATCATAGCTAGGTTCAGTAATGGTGACCGTAAATCTTGTAAATGGTAAGAATCCAAACTGTCATTAAAAACCCATCTGGTTCACTATTGTCCTCAGGGAAAGGAAGCTGCTGTCCTTACACCTTTTGGCCTTGTGATGGCTCTAGATTCATTAGCATATGGTGGACTCTTGAATAGCTTCTGAAATGGTCAAATAAACCGTCGCAGTTAAGGTTTATTACCCATCCCCAATGGCCATATTGCATGAATTAATTTAATAAAACAAAGTTAGTAAACCTGTTTTCGTGCAAAATGAGTAATTACTTCATAAAAGTCAAACATTTGTTTTAAGTTTGTTTAATTCCTACATTATGATTATCTAAATAGAAAATTGTGTTTGGCACAGGATGGGTGTGTGTGTGAGATTATAATAGTGTGATTGTACTAATGAAAGACATTCCTACAATAGTTATATGCTGATATTAATTGATAAGTAAATAATCTTATTTCCCCAACATGAAAGCTGCTACTCTTACTCAGTACCATATGGTCAGCAATTTCTTTTCTTTGCTACAATCTGTAGTCAAACTACACCTCCGAAATCCACCAAGATCGGCTTGGCTTTATTTTCTGACTCAACAAACCTGGTGTACATGCTTGTGTCAATATGACAAGTAGTGCATGAAAATTAGTTGCATCCAACATTTATTTAAAACAGGTTTAAATTCAAAGTCAAAATAGCTAGCCATCTTTACAGAGTTATTTTGTCATGCAGGGCAGTTCATTTGAAGAAGATAGTACAGGAGCATTTGCCAGACTTGTTATTACCCATTCAATGAGCTCCTCCATTCAAGAATGTTGAACACTGAAGACAAGACTATTTCCAATAACTTATTGAAAGGTCAGTTTCACTGTCAGCCTTTTGAACTCTGCTGCACATCACTTATACAAGCACATCCTAGGGCTTTGATACATGCACATATAGGCATCACAGAAAAGTCTCTTTGCAAATCCATCAAGCTGCTTCAGGTCCGTATAAGCCAGCTTGTCCTCTGACATCAGCAGGTAATCACCTATTTGTGGACAATCCGTTATCTCTGGAATATTCTCATCACCTAGAGAGAGTAATGAAAACAGGTTGGTCAGTGAAATGAGACTTGCATCAATCTGTGCCTGGAAAAAATATAAACAGTACCATAGAGGTTTGGTAGATGGGAGTACAAAATTATCGATTTAAATATGTAACATCAGTATTATATAAAATACATTCTTCCTTGAGTAAACAACACAAACTGGGAGAACAAATAAGGTAAATTTCAAACAGCAACATACTTGAACTAATATGCACAGTGCAGAAACATTTAATACAGGGAATCTTCAGCAAGTCAAATGACTTGAATCTTTGAGTTTACTAAATCAAAATGAAAGAAATTTCAAAGAGCTGCACTGTAACTGTACACACAGGTTCCATAATTAATTGTGTGGTAGTTGAGGGATAAGTGTTGATGAGGAAATGGGAGAATTCTTTGATTTTCTCTGAATGGTGCTCTGGGATTTCCAGAGTCCATAGTACTACCTATCCTTTGGTATTATTACAGATGTGGCCTCTATTTAATATCCCAATTAAAATGTCACCTCCATTAATACCATAAGGCCCTGACATCGTCAAGTCAAAGTTGTATCCTCGGGTTTAAGCTCGAACTATCACGCTCTGATGAAGAAGCGTGTGTTATCATTAGAACAAGCTAAGTTAAATGGGCTTACTTGTTGTTCAGCAAGATATAGGATCCGACTGTGTTATCATTTCATCTTTATTGTACTATTTCATCGCTATCTAATATCAACTCAAAATCAGTTAGGCCTTCTGTTTTGAAGAAGCTGAAGTGATGACTGATTTAAATATAGCGTCAACTGCTCTTGCTTTCAAGTCAGTTTGGTTAAGGCCATAATATATCCAGGAGAAATCAAAATAAAGAAGAAACTGTTTTGTATTACAGGTAGATGAGAACATATGTATTAGGAGCAGGAGTATGCCATTCAGCCCCTCGAGCTTGCTCTACCATTCAAAGCATCATGGTTTATCTGTCTGCATTCCAGATTAGTTAAAACATTTTTGAAAATGACATATCCATAAGTACAGATCCATTGAGCCAATTTGAGATTCTAGTTCAGCATGTGTCTGTGTCCAAGTGTCACAACTACTGCTTCACAACCAAAGCAAAATTTGACATGCCATCAGATGTACAGTCCACTTAATCAAATTAAACTGCTCATTTTTCAGTATTAAAGATGGATTAGGACAAAGGAGAAGCTCAGAAGAAATGTTGTAAAGACTGACCTAATTCCCAAAAACCAGCAGTACTTCACATAGTCATCCATTAAATTTAACATTATACCAACATAGAGAGTTCACACATTCAGCTGGTCATTTGGATAATGCTGATCATTAGAGTTATTCCACTCCCTACCTAAACAACAAATTTTATTTCCACTACAAGTAGGGAATTACTAAATTACATGGATGCAAGATAAGGGAAGGAAATGAAATGAGTCTTTTGTAAAATCCCAATTCATTTTGCTTTGAAAATGCAATAGGTTAGTTGGATTGGCTATGCTAAATCTGGGGTTACAGGGATAGGGTGGATGCTCAATGGAGGGTCAGTGTGGACTCAATGGGCTGAATGGCCTCTATCTGCACTGTAGGGATTCTATGATTCAATAATAGAAGTTACCAATTCGATCAGCCATACTGTCAAAGAAAAGCCAGGAATGTTTGCTGGGCCCATATTTCACAAATGAAACATAATGGCTGGTTTCAATGCAAAGCACTGCAAACAGTTCCATCCTGTGTTGTGGAAAAGGGGATCTGGCAGAAATGTCTCTTGGATATGGAAATTTTCTGAATTGGTGATCCTTCCTCTCCTTATGGAAATGAACCTGTGGGAAATTTCATGAGGAAAGCTATTAGAACAGAAAACATTACTAAAATGGAGGTCACACACAAACTATTCGCTTTCAATTTTAAGAATTCAGTATTTGTACCTGTTTATTGCAAGTGAAGCAGTATTGTTTTATGGCACCTGGATTAAGTGTTGGGTCCAGAAGACACTGAGCACATTCATACTCTGCCACTTCTCCACATATGAAGCACTGTCTCAGAGCTACAAATAATCAAATTGCATATTCTTTAAACATCGTGAAATGCATTATTATCCATATCAACATTTAACACGTTCACTAGCAGTCACACCCAACTCTATGTCATTGTGTTTTGAGTTGGGGTAGATCTATACAGACAGTGGTGCAGAACATACCAGGCAAGGATTGTGCAGGATTCTGAAATTTTGGATGACTGACAGAGGTGTAGAATAACTGGTACAAAATGGGTTATAAGATCAATTGCATAATTGATGGTGTCTGTAATATAAACCATGTGACAACAAAAGCTATTTCAATCTGTATACTGTATGTGATAGCTATAAAAAATCTGCAAAAATTTCTGACAAGACACTGCCTAATTACACTGGCCATACTGTGTTATTGCCCACCCAGTGGAATATTGATACTAGCAGGTGGTTAATTACAAAATGGAATGTTTCCAGCTACTGTACATTAATTCACTTTTACAATTGCATGTCATTAAGCAATAGGAAACAATGCTGCCTTTTGGTAGAATAACCAACATGGATCTAATACTTACTGTTACTAAGTAAATCTGTGATATCTAGTTCCAATGAGGGCATAATCTTTGGGAACATTTTAAACTCTTTTCCAAACCGTGGCATCTGAATCAACAGGCACGATGGGATCTGAAATAGGAACAATGTTCAAAGTAGTGGAGGATTCTAGCAGACACTGTCACAGTTCAAGATCATACAGGTTAGACGGCAAACAAAAACCTTGCTACTGTCCCAATATGCCTCAACTCCCCATCGCCCACCGCACAAAACACTTACATAATCCACACTAGCTTTAATCGCTACTTTCCCATGACTGCCAAATTATCAGTGGTTTTAAGCTAAGTGGGGGAAGAGTGGGTGGTTATACGTGTTCTCTAAATTGAACCCGTACAGTCAAATGGGAATGCTATTAATCCGGATATAATTCGACCCAAGCCCCAATGACAAATGTAAACTATACAATGTGAATGTTTTTAACATTTATAAACAGTGTAATTGATTATCGGTAACACCCATGACAGCACATATTGGAGCTTCCTTCATAAACCATAAGAAAAAAAAACTTTTAAAGTTGAGAAACACAAGGCATGAATAATTTGTTAGTAGGTTTTTTTTGATAGTGAAAACAGTGTGTTGAGGTAAGGCTACGTTTAATTCAAATATCTGATAATTCAGTTTTTTTTTAGCCCAGTGTACTGTTACATTGCTTACTTGAAATTAGTAGATAATTCAATTTTTTTAAAGAAAAATAAACAAATGTTCAGAAGTAGACCGTATTTGAATGGAGGAGTACTTTTAAGTTCAAAAACAAGTTATTTAAACACGTGGAAAAGGTAGGTCACTACGCAATACTGAAGCATATCCAAAAAACTTTATGTCAGACACAGCTTGGTAGTACACTGATTAACAATATCTGCGACTCCTAAAAGATTAAAAAGTAAATAAAGAGATCTCAAAAACAGACTGTAACCAACCTCCTCAAATTTTAAGTCACAAGAGAGAAAGGACCTCTCCAGAAGCAACTGTACCGTTGGTACGGTCAGTTTCTCGTCTCTCTCCAGGATTATCTGATAACAGTAGCTCTCTTGAATTTTCTGGCCTGACCTGAATTGTGCACATTAATAATAAACATTACATAAATCTCTTGGGCTCAATAAATACAACCATTATAAAGGTAACCATAAATAGTACACTAACAATTAACAGCCTTAAGATTTGTAGGTGGGGATGGAATTTACAAAAACCAAATTAAATGTCATCGCCCAAGATGGCACAGTATAAAAGTGTACACTATAAGTCACAGGTGAGGACACACACACAGCACAACATACCAGGAATTGTTGCTGATCATAGTTCAAGTCACAGAGGAAATACGAGTTGGAAAGAGAAATGAAGGTAAAAGTGTCAGAATGAGTTACTGCCCAATTTAGGATTGCTACATGGCATAAACAAATTTGAGAAGAAAATGCTGCTGGTATTATAAAAATTGACATCATCACAAAAAGAAACTTTGACCAAAGTAACAATATTTCAGTATAAATCTAATCTCCATACCGTGTGTATTTTCTATTTTTTGAATTAATGTATTTTCAAATAAATTATAAAGATTGGGCAGAGATTGCATTAGGTTTCAAAACAATCTCAGTAATGGATTTATCTACATTCATTCTCCCTAGATCCGTTTAATGGTGATTTCCTTAATGTCAATATTTCATTCTACAATTTAACCACCTGGTTCTCAAGATGAGTCACACCAGACTTGAAACACAGACTTCTCTCCACAGATCCTGCCAGCCCAGGTAAAAGGGGAACTCTAGGCTCCAAGCAAATTTAGTGCAACTTCTCCTTTCCTGAAATCAAATTGGTCTGACCTCAAGAGAATTTCCAAGTGTCATACAACAGTGATGTCTATCAAGCAAGATAAGCAGACACACAATTAAAAATTCTCTCCGACAACAAACCAGGAAGTAAAATGCACAGATTCCGCTTCACTTTCAATTTTAGAGACAATGACACAAGTATTTGAATATACACAAGGGAACTAAGGTAGAATTAAAATATCAAACCTCTTGAAATGCGAAATCATCATAATGGCACTACAAAGGGAATTACTTTATACACAAAGCTATGAAAAGATATCCAATGTGAAAACAGTACCATACATGTAATACATAGAACAGAAAATAAACTTTTTAGTATACATGTTCATAATCTCATTAATGGAGAAACCTGACATTCTACAAATGAAAACTTAGTTTTCCAAGGACAGATATCATTCACAGTAGTAGGTTTGACCTTAGCATATCATTTAAACCCCAACCACACCTAATTCAATAAGATGTAATACTTTTCAAGGCACTTTGCACCAAGACTAGTTGTCATTTCAGTTATTTCTACTCATTTGCATTGGAGGAAACTTTAGCGGTTCATCTGAAGAGGTGCAGAATTACTGACAACTTCTGAATTTCAGTATTTTACTGTGTCTACAGTAAAAACTGCTGTAGGTTTTAGTGAAGTAATGACATGATGCTAACTCATCATTACCGCAAAAATCAGATTCTCTTATTTCCCACTCACCATGGTTGGGCAGCCTTTTCTTATTTTGCACCTAGTCATTAGCCTGTCGTCACCAGTGATCACACTAACCCCCCAAATAAATGACAGCAAATGTCAACATGAGATTACTTTTACTGCAACATGAAATACAAATTGTACCAAAGGTAAAACTAAAGTATTTTTGTGAGATAAGATAAAAAAAATCGAAAACCTTTGCACTGAATTCTAATTCAAACTTGCACTTAAGCCAGTACTAAACAGTTTGACATCAAGTAACAGAGGAAATAAAAATTCATGAGTTGCTGCAATTAAATTATGAATAAATTGAAACATCCACTTTCAAATGGATCTCTTTTGTGTAAAAGAACTAGTTTGTTGGCTGACGTCCCAAATTTCCCTTCATTTTAAAGCTATTGTCTGAGATCCTTTAATGTGAGATAATATCATTGAGTGTAACATTGACCAGTACATCCCAAATATGATTCAAGGCCTATTCTGAGTAACCTGAACTCAGATCAGGAGGAGAACAATTTGAGATTTACAATTAGGTTCTTCAGCTAGGGAGGGAATAAGAAAATAAATCTGCTAATGAACATTAGATGCTGATTTCTATACATTTGGCTGTAGTAGAAATAGGGAATGCCTTTTGTGGTGCAGCAGTAGTATTTCTACCTTCGTTCCAGAAGGTCCAGTCTAACTCTCACCTGCCACAGAGGTGTGTCATAACTTGTCTGAAAAGGGTGATTTAAAAATCTTCAATTGATGAACATCATGCCTCAATGTGTCCTATCTAGACTCATGAATTGACCACAATGATGTGGTATCAATAGGCAGCCGTCACTTGTGAAACTGTGATCCTAGCAACATTCAATATTGTTAGGAATAAAGCAGAAAAAGATTTTTAAAATTACCTGATCTTTAGCAATGGATCAACTGCCAGCACTTCATGCAATAGGATATTGATGAATTCTTCTGGATCTAAAATATGAAAAGTTGCACAATTATGTAAGCAGTGTTAATCAGCTTAGTTGCACATCATTTTAAATAATTAGAATTGTGAAGTGTGGAACATTCCTGGCTGATACTGACTTGTAAGGCTTTAGCTTGAAAACTGTGTCCCTTTTAAATTACAAATTCTAATTGTTAATTAAATTCCAGGCAAGATCATTCAAAGTATTCCATCACTTGCACTGTGTCATAACCATAATGTTTCATGCTTTCCTCAGTCCTTTGCAAAACTATCAAAATAAAGAGAGTTGAAATTATGCAATATTGTCCCTCAGCAACAGACTAGCTAATCTTGAGTAGCTCATCTAAAATTAACATCAAGTTTTGAAGAGATAGTGGTAGCATCTAACGGACACGCTCTGTAGCGGTGTGTACGGTTTACAAGACACATTGCAGAAATTCACCAAAGGTCCTTTCGACAGCATCTTCCAAACCCATGACCAGTTCCATCTCTCAGTACAAGAGCAGCAGTTACATGGGAACACCACCATCTAAAAGTTACACTTCAAGCAACTCCACACCGTTCCTTTGATCCAGTGTCATTGGGTCAGATTCCTGGACTTTCCTCCCTAACAGCATTGCAGGTTGTCTATAGCATATGGACTACAACAGTTCAAGAAGGTTGCTCACTACTGCCTTCTCAAGGACAACTTGGGATGAGCAATAAATACTCGTCTAGCCAGCAATGATTGTATGAATGAACTGAAAAAAATTAAAGAAGGTTTTTGTATTGCTTAAAAAAGAAAGATATGCTTTTTAAAGTATTGGTAAAGATCTGTAGTTCGGGTTGTGGGTGAGGTTGTTGACTTGCTTGCCGAACTGCTTGTTTTTGTTCAGATGTTTCGTCACCATGCTAGGTGCATCATCAGTGGAGCCTCTGATGAAACAATGTTATTCTACTCTGCTTGGAATTTATTATGTCTGGTCCGTTATGGTGAGTAATGGCATTTCTGGTTTTGATCTTTATGGGTTTGTATATGGGGCCCAATTCTATGTGGTTGTTGATAGCATTACGGATGGAGAACCATGCCTCTAGGAATACATAAACACGCATGGAATACAGATCAAAACTGGAAATGACACTACTCACCATAACGGACCAAACAGTATAAATTCCACGCGGAGTAGAATAACATCGCTTCATTGGAGGCTCCACTGACGATGTCACCTAGCATGGTGACAAAACATCTGAACAAAAACAAGCCAGTTCGGCAGGCAAGTCAATAAACTCATATGCTTTTTGTCTCATACTTATCTGGGAGAATCACAGAAACATTTGATGCTCTTGTCACTCTGTCCTGAGTGATAAAACTAAAGCCTTCAAAAGCATGTCTCTTTTATTTAGTAATTCTTAATTTCTATACCACAAAGTTACTGCATGAGGCTTTGATGAGACATAGCCTGAAAAAAGAATTCTGGCACTATGAAAGGAGTTATTTGATGCACGGAAGATATAAAAAGTTATGTGATGTGGAAAATCATTGTCATACATAGAAGATGGAATATGGAAATTAGCTTATATTGTAAATTCAAGTATCAAAGCAGCAAAATCTCAAATCAACACAAAATGGTGTAAGGTTGATCTGTCTGAATAGGTTTAGAAAGAGAGAGCATGCATAAGAGAACAGGAAGAAAGGGTAAATGCAACAAATTCAGAAATTCTGGGCTAATTCAATAGAACATTACTTACACAAACAAAAAGCAATTACCTTTCTCTGCCGAAATAAACGTGTCACATCCTAATAGTTTCCTTAATTTTGTCACTTTATCTGCATTCACAACTCCAGTCCTAGGATCAAATGATTTGTTGGTTAATCCTTGGCGTCTTGAACACTTAATTAAAAATCCGGATCCTAGGTTACAGAGAATAATTACAAAGTGCAATATTTCAGAACACTTCTACACTAATAATTTCCCTGCTCCCTTTTGTCACCAAGGCAGCATCTCATGTTGGGTTAAAATTCTGTAAGTTCAGACAGATTTCTAGCAACTTACATTTAAAGTGTGACCACTTCAATAGTGAGTGTAGAGAACAGTAGACTAACTGTCTGTATATCAGTGGGAAATGGTAATATCAAGATTTTTTTTCTTAACAAATTAAACTAGTTTAAACAAATTAAACTATGTTCTAGAAGGGAATTTGGTTTAATTTATAGTGTTAACCTACAGTCGCATTCTGTTTTTGATCAGTTAACCCCCCAGAATTTCAAAATAATTTCCTGATGTTAAAAGCCTGTAGGCACAATACAACAGATGGTTGAGAATTTCATTGTTTGATGAGCAGTAGGATTGATGGGAGACTCATTAATTCACTCATGTTCCATGTTAGAAATGAACCACATTATTGGTTTTCAATGAGTCTTACTTCATCAGACTACTATTTAATCTGTCCATGAGAAAGATGGGAGAATGTATAAATGAGCACGAGAACAGAACCCAGTATAAACAACAGTTGGTCTATTGTTACAATCTCCAGTCCACATTGTTATTTGGATACTGTAGAGCGTAAATGTTTTCTGGAGTTTAAGAAACGCTACGTCCACTTATGGGAGTAGATTAGTTATTTGTGACCTAAAAGAATATCGATAGTGGTGTTGTGAAATTGCAACGATCCTGTTTTCAGACCTCATGCCCAGTAGAGGCAACCATGATTAAGTAGAAGAACCTTGCAGATTTTCTTGATTTTACACAGAGATGTTGAGGCCCAATCTACTGCCTCTACTGCTGCAGTGAGGTCAGTGCACTGAGAATTCAACTGGGGACATTGCTGCTCATTGCGGATCAGCTGCTCATCATCAGAAATAGCACAAGGTGTAATCACTGGTGATTCCTACCAGAATATTAAAACTAATAAAAATACAAAACGTAGAAGCCTTTAAATTGTCAGGTACAGGTTTGCAAACACGATCCTCACTCACTTGCGAAGTGGGTTGACTATATCCTCCCTCAGTACACGTTGAATTTTCTCATCGTGTCCTCCAGGCATGTGAAGTATACTATCTACCACTGTCGTGAATGCGAACAAGCTGGAAAAGCATTATTTTAAATAATGAAATTCAATATAATGTAAAACAAAAATCAGATCTGATTCAATGGACCACGTTATTATACACCATCGTAATCATTATCAGATTGAGGAATGAGTTTACTGCTGGCATTAGGCACCTCTAGATCAGGTATAGCCTCAGCGAACTGAAAGGAATACAGATTCACCTGTTTTAGCTTCAATTAGTGGCAGTCTGTTTTTCTCCCCATTGGCACCCCAAGGGCAAACTATCCCCAGGTATGAAATCTGAAATAGCTAATAGAAGGCACACAAAGGCTTGGGAATTACTTTAACTTTTCCACTCTGTCTCTCCTTGATCACGAGCTGAGCCTGGCAACACCAACTGTAGAAGCACTAAAACTGTCAACCCACAACTCTTGAGATAGTAAATTAAAGCTCAACACTGCAGATGCTGAAGATGTAAAATAAAAACAAAGTTGGAGAAACTCAGCAGGTCTCTGTAGAGAGAGAAACAGAGTTAATGTTTCGAGTCCTATGACTCTTCAGAATGGAACATGGCTAGAAAATGATGGTATTTTCATTGTTGACTATGGAGGATGTGCAGCAAGTGGATCAGATGGTGAGATGCCCAGAGCAAAACAGAAGTAGAATGCTCATGGTAAGGGAGAGAAGTCAATGCAAAAGGGAACCCAATGTTGAGTCCCAACAGCTCTAAAGTGTCTGGGTAGAAAAGTAAATGATGTTTCTCCAGCTTGCATCACGTTCCACCAGAACACTGCAGCAGGGCTAGGACAGGAAAGCTAGGGAGCATGAGGGTGTTCTGAAATGACACCTAACTTATGGACAGAGAGAGGTGGTGTTCTGCAAAGTGGTCATCCAGTCTGTGGTCTATCTCACCAATGTAGGGGAGACTGCACTGTGCATAGCTAATAAAGTAGACTAGATTGAAAGATGTACTAGCAAATGCAGGTCTGGCAGCATCTGTGGAGGAGAAAACAGTTAACATTTCGGGTCCGGTGACCCTTCCTCAGACCCATTCTGAGGAAGGGTCACTGGACCTGAAATGTTAACTCTGTTTTCTCCTCCACAGATGCTGCCAGACCTGCTGAACTTTTCCAGCAACTTTGTTTTTGTTCCTGATTTACAGCATCCGCAGTTCTTTTGGTTTTTGTTTGTACTAGCAAATCGTTGCTTTCCCTTGAAGCTGTATTTGGAGCCCTGAACAGTAAAGGCAGAAAGAGCAAGCATTGCATCTTCCATGATTGCAACAGTTAAGTATGATGTGGAGGTGCCAGTGTTGGACTGGGGTGGACAAAGTTAGAAGTCACACGAAACCAGGTTACAGTCCAACAGGTTTATTTGAAATCACAAGCTTTCTGAGCATTGCTCCGTCATCAGGAGGACCTGACAAAGGAGAGCACTCCAAAAGTTTGTGATTTCAAATAAACCCGTTGGACTATAACCTGGTGTCGTGTGACTGACTTTGCAAACATTAGGTACCATGGGAAAGTGAGGAAGTGGTCAGGAGTGACAGGGGAGTGGATTAGGTTGTCAGGGAGGGAATGGTCCTGCAGAATGCTGATAAGAGGAGAGGGTGATGTACTTGGCGGTGCATCCTAGAGTTGGCAGAAATGGTCAAGGTCAACTGGCAGGATGGAAAACAAGGACAAAGGAATCCTACCACAGCTAATAAAGAGAGGGGTAGGACCGAGAACAGAAAGGCTAGTAATTGGTCAGACATGCCTGAAGTTCTATAGCAGTACCCATTAACGACCTACATATTACTCAATGGGAGGTCTTATGGCCCAGTGGGTAACATCCCTTCCTCTGAGCCAAAAACATCAGGTTCAAGTCCCATCCAGGACTTAACAGCCAAGGAAGGTGTACTCAAAATACGACCACGCAGGATGCGTACTAACTTGTAAATCCTTCCACCATTTGTCAATGGCAGGCAGCCAGATTGGGACTGATTCTGGTCAGTCATGTGATGGGAAGTATTGCTATCTCTAGGATCACTCACACAGACCTTTGAGTAAATAAGGTGAGTTGGTAATAAGACGTTAGTGAGGCCTCTTCTGGACTACTGTGTACAGTTCTGGTTACCCTGCCATAGGAATGATATTATTAAATTTGAGAGAGTTCAGAAAAGATTTAATAGGATGTTGCCGGGAATGGAGGGTTCGAGTTTAAAGATCGACTGGGACATTTTTCACTGGAGCGTGGGAGGTTGAGGGATAACCTTTTAGAAGTTTATAAAATCATGAGGGGCAGAGATAAGGTGAATAGCGAGGGTCTTTTCCCTAGGGTGGGGGAGTTCAAATCTAGGGGTTACATTTTTACGGTGAGGAAAGAGATTTAAAAAGGACACGAGGGGCAACTTTTTTTTTTTTTTAAACACAGTGATTCGTATGTGGAACGAACCTCCAGAGGAAGTGGTGGATGCAGGTACAATTGCAACATTTAAAAGACATTTGGATAAGTACATGAATAGGAAAGGTTTGGAGGGATATGGGCGAAATGGAGGGGTACTAGTTTGGTTTGGGAACACGGTCAACATAGACGAGTTGGACCGAAAGGTCTGTTTCCATGCTGCATGACTCTATGACCCTATACATAGCTCCGGGTTAGAACGTGTGAGATAGAGTGTACACAGGAATTTTTACATCTTGAGGAACTGGCAGTCCACTACACCTAGTACAAAGCCGAAACTAGATTATATATTCCTCATCGATATATGCTGGATTCATTCAGCATGCAGTCAGCCCCTTCAGGAGAACAGCAGAATCTTACAGCAATCGACTGAAAACTAGAAAAATCAACCAAACCTAAAAATTGTGGAGTCCAGATAGCAAGAATTGTGGTGTCCCTGAATCCCTTTCATTCTTCCTTTCATAAGCTGTAGTGCTTCAGCTTCTCGCACTGGAGGAACATCCTCTTGTACGGCCAGGTTATCTTGAATGGTCTTCACTTAGAATTGAAACAGACCAAATTAATACTTTCAATATTGACAAAGATCTGCATTGTATCCTAACAATCTCAGCAATCCTGGAGCCACCTCCATAGCTGGAAACCCCACATGAAAAGAAATCAAAATTGCAGTCACTAATTTAATTGGGCTACAACACAAACACCTATAAAGTCTAATCCTGAAGTTCCAATGACTAGAGTGAATGACTGAGCTATGAATTAATAGGAACAATTCTCATTCTTTGTCCTGTACTCAACCCAGATGTAAAAAATAAAGCAACCAGGTCACCCACAGATATTTGATCTTTAACTCTCATTTTCGGCAGTTAACTCATCACTCTACATATTAGAGGTTATTTTCCTGCTTTATCAAATGATAAAAGTGGTTTATAATTCCATTTGCGATGAAATATTTAGAAGTATGAAAGCAACTAATTATCTTCTCTACAAAGATAAACTGTGCTTATATTCATTCAAGGGCAGTAGTAACAGTGTACTAATCCTGGTTCACAATCTTACCAAAATTCAGCCACATACCAGTAACATCAATCGGTTTATTCCACAAACATTGCCTAGCCGGCTTAACATTTCCAGTGTTTTCTGTTTTTGTACCTGATTCAAAGGCTGAATGAAAACTTCCAGGTGCTCGAGTACTTTAAACAAGTTTCTCTGCTGCTGCTGTATCGCCCTCAACAGGTTTCTGATAATAAATTTGTTGAACTACTTCAGTAATAGACGCATTATTCTTCCCCCAGAAAAAGGTACCACTACATTCCAATTTACTCCACAGGACCTGCAGTTTTCACAGCCCCACTTCCAACAGGTTATAATTCTTCATTTAGATACCCAAAATGGTTACGGTGGAAAGGATAATTTTACCTGATGCAGGAACTGGACTGTTGACTACCTCCTTCAGTACGTTTGATGAAAAGCGGGCGTCAGGTTTACAGTTCCTTAATGGTATAAAAGTTGCTTTGTTCTGTTCACAACAAAAATAACGATTTTTCTCAAACGTTCCATCGCTCGCATTGTTTAGTTCATAGTCCTATGTAATAAACAGACACAAAAATATTACTTGCCAGTGTTATGAAATTGCACTCTCTTTCCAGCCTTGAACCTTCCCTCCCTGGAGTGCCACGTTCCATTTAATTTTACATCCCCATTCTGCAAATATCATAAATCAGTCCTGCAACAACCAGCAAGAGGGAGAAACAGCTTAATCTAGTTGTTAGAAGGTACACCAAGATGACCCACTCAGATGAAACTCTGGAAACAAATATTTCTTCTGTTCAACATCTCCCCACAGCATAATGGTCAGGGAATCAAACATCCAACTCAATATCATGTGACACCTAGAATTTAAAGCAACTTCCTAAATGCATAATTAAGAAGAACTTTCCAGAAGTCTCATCATTTAAACCAGAGTGTAGAATACTTAGGAAAGGGAGAATAATTTACTGCCAGCTAGCAATTCAGCCTCACCAGGGAGACTACATTTTGCCAAAAAGATTGTAGTCTAATTTAGAGTGTAATGATGGTCTCAACAGCTCTGTATTTAAATGTGACCTTAATTCCTACAGTCAACATCAATAACAAAATACTAATTGCTAGCAAAGCTCAGCAGGTCTGGCAGCATCTGTGGAGAGAAAGCAAAATTAATGTTTTGAGTCTAGTCACCCTTCTTCAGAATGGTCCTCCAGCAATTTCACTTTTTGTTGCTTTTTTGTCAGTTGTGTAGTTAGTGGATGATCAAGAAATTGCAGCCACTTTTTGAGAACATCACTAGTCACTAAGTCTTTGACATCCCTGATGTACTTTTTTTTTTTTAAAACATTCAAATTGAAAAAGGTTTGTACGCACATGATTCAGCAATTGTCTATACTCACCAACTCAATTCCCGCCCACAAACTGTCGTGACCTTCCGGTATACCAATCCATCTGATAACTCCATAGACTATAGCATTATTAGGCAATTTTACTTCCACCATTGACTCAACCTCTAGAGCACTACTGTCACTCTCCGTAAGTTTTTGACCAGGAATGGATAGGGTAGAGTTGAAAGTTTTGGAACTGTAGTGTTTAGAAATCTTTAAATGAGCTGAGGTTGAAACTTCATCTGATTTTTCTCTGCCCGTTTTCCTGGGTGATAAGCTTGGAGACTGACTTCCAACTGGGGACTTGTTCCAGTTTTCTGCATCTAAGAAAGTAACAGGACATGCCAAATCACTAATAATTCATTTCTGTGACACAAAAAGATCATTTATATTATATAAAATACATACTCATATCAACCATATTCTGACTTTAACTATCCTGAGTTCGGAGAATACATTTCTCTACTCATATTTCTTGAAGGTTAAGAGCCAGGCAGGGGAAGATAGTCTCTTCCCATTTTAGACTGATGTTCTTCCCTGAGGAGTTTACAAAAAAACATCATGTGCATTAAAGGAAAATCTCAATGGGCCAAACTCATGTTAGCAACTGAAAAATCAAATTATATGCAAATGTCAGTTTAAAAAAAAAAACAATATTGGAGATAGACATCACAGTCAATTGGACTGGGGTTAAATCCAACTCACAACGATGCAAGCTGTTAAAATCAGTAGGAGGAGGTTCACCTAGATAGTTATGGGCACATTTTCACAGCATTAAAAGTTCATAATTCTGCAACATATCTATTATTCCATTCTGATAGATAATAAAAGAAAGAACTCAGAGATATAGAGCACCTTCCACAATCTCATGCTTTATAGCCAAACTAGAAACTGCCTGAGGTATATTAACTATTACATTGTACAGACAAGTTTTGCACAGCAAGTTCTCACAAATAACAAGATACACAACCAGAGAACCTGTTTTAGTGATTCATTAACTGATAGACATTTGCTAGTTTACTGAAAGAAACTCTCATCTTTGAACAGTGTTGTAGTACCTTTTACATCTAATTACAGGGCCAGGCAGGACCTCAATTTAACATCTTATTCAAAAGATGGTGCGTGCCACAGAGCAACATTCTTTCAATACTGCATTGAAGCATCAGCCTCAATTACTTGCACAAGTCTCTCAAGTCTGGTTTGATCAGGATAAGTTCAGAAAATTGAATGTTTTTCTTCTAACTGCATTACAGGAACTTCTTTTTGGACAAATTCTTGAATTGGCAATCACAAAAGCTTTCCCCTCCATCTACTTAATTCTCCAATTTAAAAAAAACTGTGGATGCTGGAGATCTAATACAAAAACAAAACTTGTTGGCAAAACTCAGCAGGTCTGGCAGCGTCTGTGGGCAGCATCAGAACTGGGCTCTGATGAAGAGTTACCAGACTCAAAACGTTTACACTGCTTTCTCCCCACAGATCCTGCCAGACCTGTGAGTTTCAACAGCTATTTCTGGTTTTGTTGGCACTTAATTCTCCATTTGACTTGAGAGAAAATTGTAACAATGACAAGAGTGCAAAAATCCCTATATTTTGCTTTATTTCAATGCTGAAAATAAAATGCATCCATTATTTAAACAATTGTTCTTTCTGAAGTAAAAAGTAAATGCCAATAATAGCAAGTATCAGTAGGCATGCAAGTAGAGTTATCCCTCAAGTGGAGAAGAAACTAATAAAGACTTAATATACCTGCCACAAAAATGTAACCAGAGGTAAGTTTTCAAACTGAACTCTGAGACAGCCTTGTGAAATTCAGAAGATTGTCTCTTTGTTATCAAGCATTATCACACTTCCTTGTGTGTTGGAATAGAGAAGGAACTTTTTTTCATAGTCAGTTACTCAACAATAACCTGAATGGTAGGCTTCCAAAGTTCAGAAAGAGCTGGGGATGGACAGTTAGAAACAGGTGGTCACTGCTGCATGTACATTTGGTTTATTTTAGTTCTTTTAACTGAATTAATTTGAAATTGCATTTAGGATCCAACATCTTTAAGCTAACAACTGTCTACTACTCCCATGCATATGTTACTACTGTCAATAAAATTGCAATTTGGAACTTTAAGAGTCATGGAGTCATACAGCACAGAAACAGACTCTTTCCCAAACTGAACTAGTTCCATTTGCCTGCTTTTCGTCCATATGCCTCCAAACCTTTCTTATTCATGCACCTTTCCAAATGAATTTTAAATGTTGTAACTGTAGCTGCAACAATCACCTATGGTAGTTCATTCCACAAACAAACCACTCAGAGTTTCAGTTATAAGGAGAGATTGGATAGACCGGGACCTTTTTCCACTGAAGCATAGAAGGTTGAGGGGTGACCTTATAAAGGTTTATAAAATTACGAGGGGCATAAATAAGGTGACTAGCAAAGGTCTTTTCCACAGTGTAGGGGAGTTCAAAACTAGAGGTCATTATTTTAAGGTGAGAGGAGAAAGAAACTGGTTAAAAAGACTTACAATTTCTCTTGTAAATTAAGGTAATTTCCTAAACTACTTTGAATGTAAATGTCATGTGTTTACTAAAGGAGTTCAATTTTTGATATGGAATAACATTTCAAAAAGACATCCAGCAATTGAAAGTACAATATCTGGAGGCAGTAATGGTGTCTCATTCCATGCACTGTGCTGAGAAGATGCAGCTAATTGTTCGAAAAAGATGGAGCTAACATGACAGCAAACTGCCTGTAATCCTTGCTGCATGAAAATCAGTTTCACCCAACAGGACTGGTGACAGGCAATAAGTAGTATCTCACACAGGATGACTCATTAGTCTGAATATTAACAGAAAGATCATCTAATGCTATACTTAAGTCAGACACAGAAAAAATATACTAAAGCTTTTATTATAGGGGTGAATAGATTTGAGGGGATAGAGTCAAGTAAAATTTTTAGATATAGGTGTACAATGGGAATTTCTGGTAGCTTATGAAGTTGGAGAAATCTTTTTTCTTATTTATTTTCCCCTCACAAAATTTAGATTTTCACAAAATTGAAGCAAGAGATCTAACTCAATCTGTCCTGCTATCCAAGACAGATTTTTCAGCCACTATATGCCCTCCAGTTGGGACATTTTTACAAAATGCCTTGCTGTCACATAATTAGCAATTATCGAATATGCATTGGGCACAGAAAATCAACCTCATTGTGCCAACACTTGTAGGGATACAGCAGCAATCTGAATCTGCTTCACACTTTGACTGCAGTGATAGTAGGAACTGCATATGCCGGAGAATCTGAGATAACAAGGTGTAGAGCTGGATGAACACAGCAGGCCAAGCAGGAAGGCTGACGTTTTGGGCCTAGACCCTTCTTCAGAGGGGAAGGGGGTTCTGAAATAAATAGGGAGAGAGGGGGAGGCGGATAGAAGATGGATAGAGGAGACGATAGGTGGAGAGAAGACAGACAGGTCAAAGAGGCGGGGATGGAGCCAGTAAAGGTGAGTGTAGGTGGGGAGGTAAGGAGGGGATAGGTCAGTCTAGGGAGCGGGATGAAGTCAGTAGGTAGGAGACGGGAGTGAGGCTTGAGGTGGGAGGAAGGACAGGCTGGGCTGGTTTTGGGATGCGGTAGGGGGAAGGGAGATTTTGGAGCTTGTAAAGTCCACATTGATACCATTGGGCTGCAGGGTTCCCAAGCGGAATATGAGTTGCTGTTCCTGCAACCTTCGGGTAGCATCGTTGTGGCACTGCAGGAGGCCCAGGATGGACATGTCGTCTGAGGAATGGGAGGGAGAGTTGAAATGGTTCGCGACTGGGAGGTGCAGTTGTTTAGTGCGAAGTGAGCGCAGGTGTTCTGCAAAGCGGTCCCCGAGCCTCCGCTTGGTTTCCCCAATGTAGAGGAGGCCACAACGGGAACAGCGGATGCAGTATACCACATTGGCAGATGTGCAGGTGAACATCTGCTTGATGTGGAAAGTCTTCTTGGGGCCTGGGATGGGGGTGAGGTGTAGGGGCAGGTGTAGCACTTCCTGTGGTTGCAGGGAAAAGTGCCAGGTGTGGTGGGGCTGGAGGGGAGTGTGGAGCGGACAAGGGAGTCATGGAGAGAGTGGTCCCTCCGGAAAGCAGATAAGGGTGGGGAAGGAAAAATGTCTTTGGTGGTGGGGTCGGATTGCAGATGGCGAGTGTCGGAGGATGATGCGTTGGATCCAGAGGTTGGTGGGGTGGTACGTGAGGACGAGGGGGATTCTGACTGCAGTACCCATTTTCTGTCAGTAGAGGGAACTCTATCCACATAGTTCAAAGGATCTACACCACAAAAGGCAAAGGAACACAATCAATGGATAAAACACCAGAAAATGTTGATAAACATGTTTTTTTTCTATGTATTTTGCCTATATTTACTGTACTTTTAACTAATTAGCAGCTACTTAATTGTTACCAAGAACAAAAGAAAATCTTTTCTTCAATTATAGCACTATTTTCCTTTAGTTGATGGTATGAACTTTGCAAAATTAGGAAAGGAACATGTTAATGTTTACTGGAGTCTCCTCCCCTAAAAAAAAACTGAATACCACTTCAACATGAATGTGGAATTTAATTCTACTTCTAACTTTTCCTACTCCAAGCCTTATTCCCAAAGTACATCTAAGAAGATGTTGAATGGCTAATGATTGTATGGCTGCAATGGGTTTCTGAATCTGTCTCATTCGTAAAGTGTGTTATGAAGTATGATTGACAACATGATTATGTTTTGATCTGTTTCTTTAACCTAACATAAAATGGAGCAATGAAGAAAATCACATTATCTGTTGAGTTCTACCTAAAAGGCTGCATGACTTGGATACCATGGGACAGAAGGCCCAAGTCAAGACTTATGAGGGCGAGGTGCAATGTTACATACCTGAAAACAAAGGATGAAGCAGATGTTCTTCTTTTTACAGATTTTCCACCTCAAAGTCTTTGAGCAGAGAGACTGAGGAAGAAAGAAAGAGATGGCTCAGCAGTTGGGGAAAGACCGTCTTGCCAGTTAGCTACCAGACAGAATACTGGGAATAGCTTGTCCATCGGTTAAGGACACTGGAAGATTTGTCCTGGTGAGCCAAAAAAAAAAATAAAAAAAAAAAAAATAAATAAAAAATCACAGAGTGGCTCTTACTGCTGACTGACAGATCAGAAATTCTGACCATGTCAAAGAAGACAATCTTCAATGGTTGAGGGATATTATGGATTCAGCAAAGCTGGGAAATATGCACCCACTGGCATTAAGACATCAATAAAATCCATCTTTTCTGCTGCTTGGAGTACAAGTTGCTTACTACGCAAGTATTTAGTCAATACTGATTTTTGTTTGCTACAGTATGCGTTAGAACGATTCTTCTAACTTGGTCAGTAAAAATTCAAATCTTTCTTTTAGAGTTATCACTCTCTGCAGGATCGTAAAAATATTGTAGTACCGATCTTCAGTCAGTGAATGGAGCTCCATCACCATGATTCATGAACAATCTATATTACAGGAACGTGATAAAATAGCTCTTAACAATAGATGAGATACTGTGAAATGTTAGCTACCTAGAAGATGAAGGTACTATGAAATCGGTATTAAAAACTAAAATATTCAAATACATTAGATAGATGTAGATATATAGGCAACTATATACACAAGAACTCCTACCAGTGAAAACTGTCGACTGATGTTCGAACCTACCATCACTGTATAATTTATTCTCTTTATCATCTGAATGAGATGGTCCCACTTTAGTATTACTTGCGCAAGTGATATCCCCTGCATTAATTAAAGTGTGTTTGACGTTTTTCCTCCCCTTCGTTTTATGGTCTTCTCCCTCCTGCATTGAGATGGGAGAAAAGAACGTTTTTGACAAAAAGCAGCATAACTTGCAATCTGAGGTTGTGGTTGTTAGGTTTTAAAGAAAATGTAAACTGATCCCAAACAGATGAGAAAACAACATCAAGGAAAATCGATGGGTCACTTTGTGTAGCTTTTATCTCAACGTTAAAAGAGAGGGTCACTCACGAGTTGAATCATACAGGCAACCAAACAAAACCACACAGCCAGAGAATTTTCTACCTACCTAAACCAGCCAGAGAAAAGGTGTGCAGAATGTGGGTAAATACCATTCAGGGTACAAGATCTTCAGCACAGGGACAGCAAAAATTAAATTGAACATTCCTGATGGTATGATACACTATACCACTAGCATATAGTATCATCTGGTGCACCCAGGAATCGCTACAAATCCATGCCCTTGTCAGCAATTGTGGAGAGGGAAAGAGAAAGTGGAGACACGTGCAGTACGGAAAATAAATCAAAAGCTGCATTCTTTGTTCAGAAAAGTATTGATTTGTTTCAGTGAGGTGGCTGGGATGAAGGATCCAAACAACTTATTTCCCTGGGAAAGGTACATGGTAATGCCAAAGCAAAGAAGACTAAAGAAAATCATTGCCCCTCTTGTGTGGAAAACAATTTACAAACCGCAATTTTCCAAACTATCTAAAATGGTCACAAAAGTGACAAGCCACAATCATCTCCCCAAAACATTCAATGGCATTACCATCTTTTAACCCTCCATTATCAATATTCTGGGAGTTACCATTGGTCATATAAACACTGTGGCTACAAGAGCAGGTCAGGGAATAGAAATTGTATGGTAAGTAACTTACCTCCCAAGTCTCCAAACTTTGTCCACCGTCTACAAGGCACAAGTCAGGAGTGTGATAGAATTCTCTTCATATGCCTGGATGACGATGCACAAGTTTTGCATTACCCAGGACAAAGGAGCCACTTGACTAGCACACCATTCAGCATCTTATAGATTCACTACCTCCACCAGTGGCAGCAGTGAACACCATCCACAAGATGTAACGCAGCGTCTCATCAAGCTTCCTTTGACAGAACCTCCCAAACTCTCAATTCCACCATACAAAAGGACAAGGTCAACAGATACACTGGAAAACACCACCTACAAGTTGCCCTCCAAGCCCCACACCATTCTGACTTGGGAGCATTTTCATCGTTCCCTCACCGTCATTGGATCAAAATCCTGCAACTTTCTCCCTAACAACTCTGGCGCCCTACCTTTATTTCTCTTTATTCATTAACCGGATGAGAGCATCGCTGGCTAGCCAGCATTTATTGCCCATCCCAAGTTACAGAGGGCAGTTCAGAGTCAACCACATTGCTGTGGATCTGGAGTCACGTGTAGGCCAGACCAGGTAAGGAAGGCAGTTTCCTTCCCTGAAGGGCATTAGTGAACCAGAGGGTTTTTTCTGACAATTAACAATGGATTAATGGTAATCATTAGATTCTTAATTCCAGAAATTTATTGAATTCAAATTTCACGATCTGCAATGGTGGGATGCGAACCCAGATCCCCAGAATGTTATCTAGGTCTCTGGATTAACAGTCCAGCGATAATACCACCAGGTCTCCCTGACCTGCATTCCAGCTGTTCAAGAAAGTAGCTGACTATCACTTTGTCATGGGAAGCTATGGATTAGCAATAAATTCTGGCCAGTCAACAATGCTCACACATAGTTGACAAATTATTTAAAATCTCAGGGTTGTTATATGATGGAAATAAGTTATAGTTTTTGTTACACTCTTAAAAATTTTATATGGTTCCATGGACTCACTGAAGTCAAAATCTGATGTTAATGAATAAAAACAGCCAATTTTTATATACAAATCACCAGAGCTTTTCCCCACATTTTAAACCTCATGCAGAGTGAACGCCTAAACTCCAGGAAAAAGTCAGACTAATAACTGGGCTTTCAAGAAGTCCTTCTGAGCTCAGTACAGAGAATCACAGAATTCCTACAGTGCTGAAAGAGGCCATTCAGCTCATCGAGTCTGCAACGATTCTCTAAAGAGCACCCCATCCAGATCCAGCCCCCTACCTTATCCCATAACCCCACATTTAATATGGCAACCCACCTAGCCCACACTTCTTTGGACTGTGGGAGGAAACTCATGCAGACACAGGAAGAATGTGTAAACTTCACACAGACAGTCACCCAAGGCTGGAATCCAACCCAGGTCCCTGGAGCTGTGAGGCAGCAGTGCTAACCACTGAACACCACTGTGCCACTCTTTAGCCTAATATTACACGAATATTTAATTCCAGAATAAGAAGACACAGTTGAGACAGGAGGCAAAAGAAAATTCATATTCCAACAAAACAATCGACTGTACTTTGCCCTGCATCTTACAGTACTTCAATACAAATCTATAAGTACCTCCTGGAGTTGGAAAGTGTGATAAACTTTAGTCAGAAACTGCCACTATCCTATAATATTTAGCAATAGGTATGCGCTGCTTACCACACTCTCGACTTGAAACAATGTTCCATTTAGTTTCAATCCATTGTCACGTTTAGAGTTTATAATATTTTTGACAATTCCTACCCATGTTTCCTTGGCCCCTTTCACTTGCACAATGTCATTAATTTGTAGGATAGAAATAGATTTGAAAAGATTTTCATTCTGAACAAGTGCACATCGATGAGACATGTCCTGGATTTCAAGAAGCAACTCTGCTTCATCCTTGCTGATTTTTTGGACATCTTCTTGCTTCACTTTTGTTAATTTTATGGTCTTCTTGTTAAGCTCCACAACTGCAGATAATTCCCCATTTTCTGACCTGGTGAAATAGCCCAATAAGCCTTTTTGGATCTTCTTCTTGCTGTCAGTAAATTCTTTCATCACAATAAAATAATGTCTATCTTTTTCAATTCCTCCCATTCCGATTTTGGGTAATCCAAGGACCTGAAAAGGATTAGAATTAATTGAGTGGGGTTTTTCCCCCATTTATAGGCCACAAAGATAAAAACAAGATCATTTCATCATCAGACAACTGCATCTGGAAGTTCACAGCAATTCAAAAAAGTCTGGTCTCTCACAAAAATAGTATCTTGAAAATTGCAGACCTGAGCGCCTGCACTCTCACGACAGATTACTGAGTAAACCACAGAAGTCCTGTTTTGATCTAATTCACTAGGCAAGCTGAGACCACGCTGACATCAAAGGAGCTCCAAAGCAGATGACCATCAGGTGCCCCAGCAGACATTTCATCTGACAAAGGACATAAGCTGTTTTTGCACTTTTCTCAGGATGATCCCAAAAAATTATCCATGAAAATATATTGCTGTTCATTCAGTGTTGCTGAATCAAAATCCTGGAATTTCCTCCCTGATGTATTATAGGGGTACCCACACCAAATAGACTATAGCAGTTGAGAAGGTAGCTCACAATGACCTTCTCAAGGGCAACTGGGTATAGTAGTATATGCTGGCCAGGCCAACATCATCCATATCCCATTAACTTTTTTTTTATAAGGTACAATACAATTAAGTTCCTTGCAGAATCCAAAAGGACAAATGCATTTACTTTTAAAAAAACTATGGATCTTCAAGAAAAGCCAGGCACAGAGAGGGCACGACAGTTCCTTATGATGTCAACCAAAACCTCATTGAAGGCAGCAATGAATAAGATCAGTAGACAGTGAATAAACTTTCCTCACTATTCTTTTGAGAGGAATACAAACAGTTTGAGACTTACTTCCACACGTATCCTGGTGGTGGAATGTACATCGAATGAAAATCCAGGATTTTGTCACACACTCCTTTAGCTTTCAGTTTCTTTATTCCTAATGTATGTTATACACAAGAATGTCATCAAGATATTTTGCAAAAGTATCTCCATAAAGAAGCTTTCTGTTGATGAATCAGTCTAGCGAGTTTATATTAGCTTCAAATTAATTCACTGATTCCTTCCTTGTCCATTGCTGAACATTTACAGTCTTGCTTTAGAGATTGTGTCCATTCAAACCTTATGATAGAAAAAAATTTTAAAAACACAAGTACATTAACAAGAGAATATTCAAGATGCTGTGCTGAGGCACCATACATACAGCATCGATTACCCAGTTATAAGAATTGAAACATTTCTCTACAAGAGGAATTCATTTAGTCCCATTCTCTCACCTTTTTCCTGTAACCCTGCAAATTCACTCTCTTTAGATATCCCTTGACAGTCAATGGCATTACCATCGTTGAATCCTTTACTATCAACATCTAAGGGTTACCTTGTATCAGAAACTGAACCGGATTAGCCATAGCCACAAAAGCAGATCAGTGCTTAGTAATCCAGTAGCAAATAGCTCAACTCCAAGTCAGAACTGTGACGGAATACTTCCCCATTACCTGGGTGAGTGCAGATCCAACAACATTCAAGAAGCTTGACACCAGCTGAATCAAAGCAACCCACATGACTGGCACCACTTCCACAAATATGCTCTCCCTCCACCACTGTTGCCTAAAAGATGCAGTGCAGAAATCCACTGAGGCTCTTTGCACAATAGCTTTCAAACATATGGCCAACACCATCTATTCCACTCTCACTGTTTCTAGCGATTCTCGCTGTTGCCATCCTTCAGGGCCCCCTCTGGTGGCATAGTGCTGTTGTCCCTAACGCTGGACCAGAAGGCGTGGGTTTAAGTCCCACCTGCTCCAGAAGTGTTTAATTATGTCTCTGAACAAGTTGATTAGAACAAAAAAAAGGTCAAGGTCATCGGACATATGGGAACACTACTACCTGCAAGACTCACTCCAAGCTACCCCACCATCCCGACTTGGAATTATATCACCATTCTTTCAGCAAATCTGGGTAAAATCCTGGCAACAATGTAGGTGTACTTACAAAAAACAGACTCCAGCAGTTCAAGATGGCTGCTCATCATTGCCTTCAGTAAATATAGCTGGGGATAGGGAATAAACGCTGGCCCAGCCAGCTGCATCCACATCTCATGAATGAATTTTAAAATTATTCATTTCCCTTTTGACAGTAATGATTGAAGCTGGCTTCACTACACACTCAGCCACTGGCATGTTTCTTCTCCATCAACTCCGTCTGGATCCCTCCCTCATTATTTTAAGCACTTTATCAAATCTATTACATGGCTCAGTGGTTAGCACTGCTACGCAAAAGTGCCAGGGACCCAGGTTCAATTCCACCCTGGGGAACTGTGTGTGGATTAGATGGATTGGCCATGCTAAATTACCCATAGTGTTCAGAGATGTGTAGGATAGGTGTGTTAACCCCATGGGAAATACAGGGATAGAGTAGGGGAATGGGTATAGGTGGGATGCTCCACAGATGATTGGTGTGGACTCGTTGAGCTGAATGGCCTGTTCCCACATTCTACAGATTCAATCTAACTCAGTGCTGTTGGCTCACAGCAATCTAAATGGTGTTAAAACAGTATCTAAGAATTTAACAGGCTAACTGGATTAGCCGTGGGAAACGTAGGGTGGGGGTGGGATGCTGTTTGGAGGTGGATGTGGACTCGATTTGCCAAATGGCCTGCTTCCACACTATAGGAATTCTAAGATGCCCTTCTCTAAAGAAAACAACCCACCTACATAACTTCTTCGGCCTAAAACCACACTCTTTAATCTTTTCTGCAGTCTCTCAAGTCTTCACGAGCTTCCTAAACAAATCAATTGCAACGGTCAAACATTGTGAAGCTACATGACAGAAATATCATTTACAAAAACTGACAACTCTGTTCTAACTGCAACAACATATTTATAAACCTGCACGGGAAACCACCGAAACTTTCGAAACGTGTGCTTTCAACTTTAAGGTGATTGATGAACTATCTATAGCACAAACGGCGAGAGGCCCGCCTCCTCATCCAAACTGTCGATTTTCGTAAATGAAAGCAATACAAACAAAAACCTGCAGTGCACCGCCTTCCGAAACGAGCAAAGAAGCTGTTCTCAAAACAAGTTTTTTTAAAATTACCAACAACAAAAACAGAAAAGCTCAGCAATTTCTGTTTCGGATTTCCAGCATTCTTTCGCTTTTAAATTCCAATCAGATTAACTGTTAATTTAAAACAGATTTAAACTCAAACTGTGTAAGGGCTCGATCCAGCGATAGGATCTGCGACGCAACAGCGAGATTTCCGGACTGAGGGCAGAGGGGGCGACAAAACAAACGAAACCAAAACAAACCCCCCGCCAGACACTGGTTTAATAACAAAACCAAATCATGCCTAATAAATAACTGCAGCAAGTCAGGTGAACAACCCTCACGGAATATTTACATCCTGTGTAAAGCCGGGGTCTGTGAACATTAGACTTTTTAAACGGGAACAGCAGCTGCACTCACTGAGTGTATAAGCCGGACAAAGCCCGAGGCCTAGGGCCGACACTGTACCCGGCTTACTGTCTCCCCGCAGCCTCTATCTCTCCGGTTATTCCAGTCCCGATTAACAAGAGCCGCCGCACCCACCCCCGGTACCGGGTCGTCTCACGCTGTCCCCCCACCCCCAGGGAGGTCTGTTGCCTTCAGTTGGGATCTCCGCTCCCCTCCCCCTCACCTGCCGCCGGGGCGCGCCGACTGCGCATGCACCTCTCAGATCGCGCGATACCTCACAAGGAACCAGTCAGATGTTCCTGAGGGCGCATGGCGCGGGGCTGCTTCGGGGCCGGGGTTGCTTCGGGGGGGGGGGCATGCACTTCACAGGAGGCGGCGCGGAGCTGCTTCGGGGGGGCATGCACTTTGTAACAGACAGTACAGAGCTGCTTCAGGGGCACGCACTTCACAATAGACAGCGCAGAGTTGCTTCAAAAATCTTACATTTGATAGCACAGAGCTGCTTCAGTGACATGCATTTTGCAATAAACAATCCATAGCTGTTTCAGGAGACGTGCATCTTTAAGTAGATAGTACAGAGCTATTTCAGGTACATGCACTTCGCATAGGCTATACAGAGCTGCTACTGGACACACACCTTACAACAGACAGCGGAGAGTTTCAGGGGACATCCGCCTTGCAATTGACAGCACAGAGCTGCGTAAGAAGACATGAACCTTGCGGTAGATAGTACTGAGCTGTTTCAGGGTATATGCATCCATAGACAGTGTAGAACTGCTTTAGTAGACATGCAACTTGCGGTTGACCATACAGAGTTGCTTGACGAGACATACCCCTTGCAGTAGATAGTACAAAGATGTCTCAGAAGTCATGCACCTTGTTATAGACAGTGTAGAGCTGCTGCAGGTCACAAGCTCCTTGTAATGAACAGCACACAGCTGCGCTGGGGCACATGCACCTTTCAATCGATAACGTAAGGCTGCTCCAAGCCCCATGCACTTTGCAATAGCATAAAACTGCTGCCATCAACATGTACCCTGCCTCAGACAGCATAAACCTGCTTTCTTGTGCATGCAGCTTACTTTAGAGGTGCTGAGAATTTGCACAATTTTGCTTTTTTAAAAACATTTGAATTTGCTACACTAAATACAAATTATACCATTCTATACAACAAAATACAGAAGCATTGTTATCCTTTGTGCAAAATTGAATTGAGATATATCGTAATAGAAGACAGGTTTCAGCAATTGAAATATAGATCAATAAGTAGTCTTATTATACCATGTCACGATACAAAAGCAGAATACTGTGAATGTTGGACTGAGTGCAGGCTGGGTGACCATTTTGTGGAATGCCTCCATTCAGTCAGTAAGTATACCTCTTGTGCTTTCAGTTCCTTGCCATTTTCATGCACCATCTTGGACTCCTGCTCACCTTTCTGTCTGAGAACTGCTGCAGTGTTCCAATAAAGCCCAACACAAGATTGAGGAGTACGACCTCATTTTCCATTTAGGCACTTTACAGCTTTTTAGTCCCCCACAGTTTGGTTTTCTCGGTTTTGCTGCTGACCCAATTTCTGCTTTTAACACCTAGAATAAACACTTATCGTGGACTTACCTCTAACTTGACATTACATTTGCCTTCTTTCCATGACTGTGTAATCTCTAATTTTGTTTGCACTCTTAACCTTCCTCTGACAATAAGACCATGAGAAATAGGAACAAGAATCAGCCATTCACACTCTTGAGCCTGCTCTGCCATACAATAGGATTATGGTCGATCTGACATTCCTTGTGTCCACGTTTCTGCATTTTCCCTATAACACTTGATTCCACTACTGATCAAGAAAATATGTATTTCGATTTTAAATATTCACAAGGACTCGGTCCCCACAGCTCTCAGTTGCAAGGAGTTCAAAAGATTCATAACCCTCCAACAGAAGAAATTTCTCCTCATCTCAGTCCTAATTGGTGCACCTTTATTCTGAGAACATGTCTTCTATTCCTTGACTCTCCCATGAGGGGAAACATCCTCTCAGCATTTACTCTGCCAAGGCCCTTAAGAATTGTGTATGTCAAAATGAGACCACCTCTCATTCCTCTAAATTCCAATGATTAGAGTCCCAATCTTATTTAACCTTTGCTCATTAGACAGTCTCTCCATATCAGGGATCATCCAATTGAACCTTCTCTGAATGCCTCCAATGAAATTATATCTTTCTTTAAATAAAGGGACCAAAGCTGCTCACAAAACAGACTTTCCTTTTGTTCCAGAGATAGTAGGAACTGCAGATGCTGGAGAATCTGAGACAACAAGGTGCAGAGCCGAATGAACACAGCAGGCCAAGCAGCATCATAGGAGCAGAGAGGCTGACGTTTCGGGCCTAGACCCTTCATCAGAAAAGGGGGAGGGGAAGGGGGTTTTGAAATAAATAGGGAGAGAGTGGGAGGCGGACAGAAGAGGGATAGAGGAGAGGATAGGTGGAGAGGAAACAAACAGGTCGAAGAGGCGGGGATGGAGCCAGGAAAGGTGAGTGTAGGTAGGGGGTTAGGAAGGGGATAGGTCAGTCCAGGGAGGACGGACAGGTCAAGGGGGCGGGATGAGGTTGGTCGGTAGGAGATGGAGGTGCGGCTTGAGGTGGGAGGAGGGGATAGGTGGGAGGAAGAACAGGTTAGGGAGGCAGGGACGAGCTGGACTGGTTTTGGGATGC